GTAACGCTCGCCGCCATTGGACTCTGGAGCAGTGGAAACGTTTTCTCTGGAGTGATAATCACGCTTCACCATCTGGCAGTCCGACGGACGAATCTATTGGCGGATGCCAGGATGACACTACCTGCCTAAATGCATAGTGCCAACTGTAAAGTTTGGTGGAGAAGGAATACTTGTCTGGGGACTGTTTTTCATGGTTCGGGTTAGGCCCTTTAGTTCCAGTGAAGGGAAATCTTAACACTACAGCACACAATGACATTCTAGACGATTCTGTGCTTCCAACTTTGTGGAAACAGTTTGGGGAAGGCCCTTTCCTGTTTCAGCATGACAATGCCCCCGTGCACAAAGTGAGGTCCATACAGAAATGGTTTGTCGAGATCGGTGTGGAAGAACTTGACTGGCCTGCACAGTGCCCTGACCTCAACCTCATCGAACACCTTTGGGATTCATTGGAATGCCGACTGCGAGCCAGGCCTAATCGCCCCCCAACATCAGTGCTCAACCTCACTAATGCTCTTGTGACTGAATAGAAGCAAGTCCCCACAGCAATGTTCCAACATCTAGTGGAAAGCCTTCCCATAACAGTGGAGGCTGTAATAGCAGCAAAGGGGGGACCAACTCCATATTAATGCCCATGATTTTGGAATGAGATGTTCGACGAGCAGGTGTCCACATACTTTTGATCATGTAGTGTATTAGTATTCTGTTGCCAACTAACAAATGTGGTACTCTCAAGGGGAGGTCATGTACACAGTGAAAAGGATCACCTTTACATGTCTCTTTATGAAAGCCGCCAGAAATGGGAACAAACAGAATATCTTCAAAATATCTTCTAATTGCTATACAGCCTTTCTATTAGTAATTGGATCTGACAGGGCTAGGTGCTGCACAGAATACCTGATCTACAAATTACATCAACCTCAAAACAGCCAAGCATGAACTGGTCCATATGGTATAAGGATTAGTGAATCTACATGATCCCATGGCACTTGTCGCAAGAGTATGGGGTGTTATCCCTGGTGTCTTGGCTACCAAATCATCCTCAGCTTCCAGTTGGCTCATTAAAACCCTCTCCTTTCTCCTGCAACTCTTATCTAGGTCGTTAAAGAGAGTGTTCTCAGCCAACCTGGTAAAATAAGGGTTAGATATGAACAAGCAGATTGACATGTAACCTAATGGAAGTGTTTCATTCCTCACATGAATAAGCTTCCACCTACTAACGATTTGGACATGAGTCATTTGATTGACAGTTCCGCAATAATCCCACTCATGTGGGAGTAGTTCTGTAACACTCTTAACTCCTGGGTGACCTGTAAAGGTCATTACGATATGGAACAGTGTGTGGGAGCTGAACAAGCCCACTAGGTTGACCTATGACCTCTGCTGACTAGTGCACACACACACAAACGGAGGCTCACACGCACAGACACACACACAAATGAATGCACACACCAGACAGACACAGGACCTGTAGATATAGTTCAATATGTCACCATTCTGACACGTGGTTTAGGGCTTATTTAGTTTGTGAGAGCATGAAAGGCAAACATTCCTGCCCGTGTGTATGTGTCTGTCTGTCTCTGTGTTTGTGCTCACATCCATTTGTGTGTCAGAGAAAGGAAAATTAAATGTTCATGTGTATGTGTGACTCTGTCCTCTCTGTCCTGCATCCAAACAACCTTGAGGCTGCAGCAACGGGGTCAAACAACCTTGAGGCTGCAGCAACGGGGTCAGGCTGGAGAGTTTGGAGATCAAACACTATTATTTTCTCTCTTGCAACTACTCTCTCTCCCCTTGTCCCTCTGTACTTCTCTCTGTCTCTCTTTGTTGCTCCTCTCGCTCTCCCTTCCTCTCTCTTCTCTCTCTCTCTCTCTCTCTCTCTCTCTCTCTCTCTCTCTCTCTCTCTCCCTCTCTCCCTCTCTCCCTCTCTTTCTCCCTCTCACTTTCTCCCTCCTCCCTCCCTCTCTCTCAGCCCAGATGGGTTTTTCCATTTGTATGTCATTCCATAACTACAGTGTGGAGAAGTTGCAGCTCATTTGACAGCTCTCTAACCTGGAACCTATGATCCTCCTCATCTCTCTCTCTTCCTAGCAGGGTTGCTGACTGCAGTAGGAAACTCAAGAATGTAAGTGACACCTCTCTATACTGTTTGTTAGTCTGGTAGTCTGTTATGTCCTCGTATGTATGGGTTGGTCTGTCTGTCTGCCTCTGGCTGTGTTTTCTCTATTTTTGTCTTTCTTTCTTTCTCTGTCGTTCTTTTCTCGATCTCTGAATATCTCTCTCTCTCCATCTCTCTCTCTCTCTCGCTCTCTCTCTCTCACCCCCTCCGTCTATTTCCTGTCTCTGCTGCTTTAAGAGGAGCTAGCGAGCTAGCGTAGTGCTGTTGTCATTCTCTGCAGTGTGAGCAATGTGAGCGCTCTACCTGACTTGGCTTGCTATAGCGTACTCTGTCTAACATATGTGACTATACTCTGCCAAGGCTGCCTCCAGCTCTAGCCCCACAGCTGTCTGAGCTGTTTTAGTAGAGGGACACTGAAACGCTCCATTAGATTCAGTCTGCAGTGCATGAGAACGTCCCATAAACTCCCAACAGCTGTAGAGGGAGCTAGTCTAGTGCTGCTGTCGACCATAGACTTTTCATTGTAGCAAACTGCAGCAGCAGCATTCAATTGAGAAGATGAGATAGGTGGAAGAGTATTTTGTATTGTTTTGTAAACGCAGCTCGGACTTGGCTAGGAAAAGTGACTATCATGCTTGACTGGATGGAATTCTGCTGGCCTCATGGAATGTTAAACTGATGCAGGCGTAAACAGTAAGCTATCTATTCCGTATGACGTTGTAGGTATATTTTGGAGTAAATATTGTTTGGCATTTTGGTTCTGTAGGTATGGAACTGCTGCTGTGAAGGTGTGTGTGCTCATGTGTGCGTACGTTGTGTGCTTGTGTGCGTACGTTGTGTGTGCTTGTGACACAAAGAGGTTATTGTCCCGTCCGGAAGAAACACATTTTGTCAGGTGACTTGTCTAGTGAAACGTATCAGAGAAGACAGGCACTGTAAAGTGAGGAAGAGACAGACGTACAGAGTGCATGACCTCAGGTCTTTAAGATGTTGCAGGTTTAGCTTGTGGTGTATACTTTCACTTTGACATGCTGTCACAAGGATGTTTGCAAAGGTGTAGCTACAACACGTGTAGCTAGGTTAGGTATGTTGTTTTATTTGTCATTGCAACATTTATTGAACTTACTGTATATTGCACAAACAGAGCATGAGTAGTATGAACATTTATACCCTGTCAAGGCTATTTATTGACACTAAAGTTTTCTATCCTTAGAACAACACCTAATGACCTTGTCAAGAGGTTCCAGCCTCTTGCTGTTTGACAGACAGGTATTGGACTGACAGTTGCAAATATCCAAGTTTGAATCCCAGTCAGGCTACCCCCTGAATTCACTTTTTGTACATTTGTCATGCTAAATGGTAGTGTGGGTGCATGTGATGAATGTGAATATAATTGTTTTGCCTTCTAGATACAGTGCACTGGATGTGCACATGATATGCATGGTGGGTAAGGTATGTTTACATTTTGTTTGGTAGCCTAGATTGATGTCTGAAAGGAGGGCTTACAATGACTGTATACCACACATTCCACAAACCACCCAAGACAACCTCTAGTCTGTTTTATCAAAGGAATACCCCCTAGATGCTTAGATGACATTGATATCATAAAACCAAGCAGCCAATCAGTCAGCTTGTTCTTGCAACATAAAAGAGCCTGTGTGATCTCCATATGGCCACAGAGTCCACACAGTGGCCTAGCTACATAGTGGGACATCAGATAGATAGTAGATGACGTTGGCATAGTAAATTAGCCTGTCAGGGCTATGCTGGCATAGTAAAGCAACCTTACCCATGTGGCAATGGTAAAGAGAGAAAGAAAGCTAGCTGTGTGTTCACATTGGGTTCATATTGACCAGGACAATGGCTAGGTCTTGTCTTGTTTGTACAGAAACCCCTGGCTAGCCTACTACAGTGATAGAGAAAAGAGTGGACCAAATATACCAGGATGTGAACCCTATTGGTGGCCATTTTGATGAAACTGTTGTTTGTACTCCTCACAAATTAAAGAGAAGTGGAAAGGAGGGTGATTTAGGTTGTATGACTGGACTTGACATCAAACAAACACTCAAGGGAGAATGGTACCTCGAATTGATGCAATTGGGGAAGAACAACTGTGGAGAAATTGTGTGTAGTATCAATTGTGTGTAGTCTGGTCTCTACACAAACCACATAGCAAAACTGCCAAACGATATGTCCAGAATGTATCCGGAATATTGAATATGTCAGTACTGTACCCCAATGTGTCTGCAACACATGTCCAAGTAATTTTTCTTTTATATAAGCTAGCCCAATGTTCCTCTGTGAGAAATTGTATAATTTTGCTAACTAATGGGTACAGTGTGCCTTTGCGCCATAGCTGGCATCTATCACATAGGCATACTGTGTGAAATTTGGAATTCTCTGATTGCTCTCAGGTGGCTGAGAATGCTTGTGTTGCTGTCGATTAGCATTAGCGTTGTGAAGTATACCTTGGAGCTGTCAGGAATTTTGTTCGTGGCTTACAGTATGCTAACTTTGCCCATATCAACATAGGTTGATTTTGCAATGGCATTTTGCCAGGTTTATTCAGTAAGTAAACAGTTGGTTTTGGTTCATTTTTGGAGGGAAAAGTGGGATATTGGGCCCGTAAAGCATTTATCAAGCAACATTGCTAATTAGCTAATGTATCATGTGCTAGCAGTCTTGCATAATGTATTACACAACTTGTGCACAGGCTATGGAGTATGAGACCACTGGGAATTGGTTAGACCAAAAGTGCTACCAAAAGTTGACCAACTGTGTGGGTGGATCAATTGACAATGAACTACCTCTAAATCGAAAGTTACAGATTGTGACGTTAATACCTTGTCTTGTTAATACTGGCTCTAAATCTCCTCCTGTTGTAATGATTCCTCCACAGGTTCTGATTACCATATACTGGCTGGGCCGGGCTGCTAACAGCTGCACCTCCTACAACGGGCCCACACTGGACCTGAAGGAGTTTGAAGGCCTGCTGTCACAGATGCGAAAGGTACATACGGGGATGGATGTAAGGCTTTGACATGGCTCAGTTTGTTGTATCCTAGTGCTAGCAATGACAAGGTAGGGGGTTCAATTCCTGGAAGGGCAGTGTATTTTAGGTCCTTTTAGATGTTCAAAGTAGTTTTGCAGTTGTTAGGTGGCTGTACTATTAGGAATATTAGACTAGAAGGCACTGTCCAACCAAAGCATATGTTTTCTTTGGCAAACATAAGGATGTTATGATGCAAGCTCCCCTCGGGGTGCACTGATGGTTTTACCACTCCTTCCTTTATCACTTCACCTCCCTTCCCCTCATCATGAAGTCATCCCTAGAAGAGAATGCGCTCTTTCCTCTTTCTCTCTCCCCCCCCCCTCCTTCTCACCTCTCTCTTTGTCCAGGGATGATCTCAGGCCTTCAACTGGTCTTCCAGAACCAGTGTGTGTCACCTGGACTGTGGTTTTTTACAGACCCCCATATAGGGACGTAGCTGTAGTAACCGTTCAGAGCGTGAGGTCACTCCTCTTCCATTTATTCCATTCCCCCACTGTTATTCTCTTCAAATGAGAAATGACCATTCAGCCTAGAATTCTTTCACAGATGTCTGTATAGTCCAGCACAACAGGGCCTCGTCTCCACTTAACAAAAGGTAATGATTGTGACTTAAAGTGAGAGAGAAATTCAATATGTTTATGAAATCCTGTCACACGCAATACAGGAGATGTAGTGATATGTGCTAGCCATTGTGGTGGTGAGGCTCAAATGATGTAAACGTAATGTTGATGTAGAGAAACACTATTTTAACAAATAACTTTCAGTCAATCCATCAGTTGAATATCTTGTCTGAAAATAAAGTATGATAGTTGATTGCCTTAAAATGGCCATTGGGTACTCTACAGGTTAGTTAGGCTTTCTGAAAGCTGCTCAGTTTGATGGTCTCCAGACACATTCCTAAAGTAGGGCTCTAGGTGTATTAATGCTGGGCTGGTACAAAAACCTTCACACCCATTAGCTTCAGGACCACTGCTGTTGTCTGAGCTGAGGTTTCAGCTTAGGGTTCATAGGACTGATCTGACCAATCAGGAAGACCCCCCCCTAGAGTTGCCACTCAAAGCCAGCCATTGTACCCCACAACCCCCCCACCCACCATGAGGTCATGCCAAGTAGGACCCCAGCATCCTCCTTCACTCAGGATCTGGCACAGGGAAGAGAGGGAGGAATACAAAGGCGGAGTAGATTGGAGGGGAAGGGGGGGGAAATGGGTTGAAGTGAGAGGAGGAGGGAGGAGGGAGGGAGGGAGGAAGAAGGGATAGAGTGGGAGGAGGAGGTAGGAGAGGGAGAGTGGAGAGGAGGAGGAAGAAAGGGAGGTGAGGAGGAGAAATGAAGGGATATGTGTTGATGGAGAGGGAATGAGGAGGAAGGAGAGCGGCATGGAGGGGAGAAGAGGGGGTAGGTGGCAGCCAGGAGGGGGAGGGGGAAACAGGGCAGGACCAGGAGGTTCCTCCGGCAGGCGGGAAGGAAAAGCCTTTCCTCAGCCCAGGAAACTAGAGAAGCCACAGACAAGGTTACACTGTGCAGCTTAAAACACACAGAGAGACAGAAGTAGAATATCAATTAGAATTGGAGAGAGGGAGAGGAAGTGAATGTACTTGTCCATGTTGGAGGAATCATGGTGAGGGAGGGATCCAGATTGGATGGGGTATTGGGATGATCTCTACACAAATGTTTTTACATTGACGTGTGTGTGTGTGTGCGTCAATTTGCATGCTTGTGCGTGTGTGCATTTGTGTGTCAAAGGAGGCGGAGGACACGGAGAGCCCTCAACGCAGCATACGGGACAGCGGCTACATCGACTGCTGGGACTCGGAGCGCAGCGACTCACTCTCCCCGCCTCGCCACGGCCGAGAGGACTCCTTCGACAGCCTGGACTCATTCGGCTCACGCTCCAGACAGACGCCCTCGCCGGACGTACTGGTCGCCCGCGGCATCGGCAGTGATGGTAGGACACTAGACGCCCGGACGGGTTACACTGCGCACACAAGTCACAAGCTTTTACTGTCACATACTTTCTGGTGTTACCTGGGTCGAAACCTAACAGAAGAAAATGGACCGAGACCGGGAGGGACTACCTGAACTTGAACTCTCATTTTCGTTGTAAAACATTTTCTGTTGCTAAACGGTGTGCACCCTGTTGTGTTATAGTGGCTTGCATAGCTGTAACTGTTTTGTTCATGTAGCTATCATCACATAGTGACTTACCTCATTTACCACCAATGGTTTATTCTGTGCACTTTAATGATGCATGGCAGGCATTTTCACATACAGTATCATTGGGGCAGGTGGTGGAATAGTCACCATCAGCTGATCTGAAACTAGCTGTCCCTATCTGCTCTTTTCAACCTCTCCAATCTATGGGATCATCTGGCAGGGTGTCTCCATCTGAGCCCAGCTCTGCTATTGACATCTGTACAAAGGCGGTTTTGTGTTGTTTCTTCCTTGGCCGACTGTTTAGGGCTGTTGCTGTGGGTTACGTCTCTTTGAAGGCCCTCTTGAGTGAGTGAGTGAAAGTGTGAGTGAGTGAGAGAGAGAGATCAGGTGATGGAGAGAGGAGATGGCAGTCTTGACTGATGGGTTGCAACATATTCCAGAGGAGCTGTTTTTTTACACACCATTTCTTCATCTGTTCCAATCTGTGGTGTTGCACTAGATGATGATACCTGAGAGTGATGCATATCAGTCACAGTGGGTGTGAGTGTATCTGCCTGTCATATAGGGGCACACTCAATCTTGTGCCTATATTTGTATGCACACCTAGGGACGCATGCACATGCACACATACAACATTATTGATTTATATAATCCCTCTCCTCTCTTATACAGTCCTATGGTACCCTTGAGGACTAGCTTCTGTATATTAGCAGCTGCAATATCCACACAAGACTCACAAGCTCTCCATCGAACACATCAGAGGAAAAATATGAGATGTGTTTTATGTATTTTCCAGGCAAGGAAAGAGAAGCCAAGAAAACTCCTAGGTTCTTTATTTTAAAACCCTATGATGCTCCTACCAGGCCCTTTTAAAACCCTGATTGTTCAAGGGGGAGTGAGACAAAAAGAGGCCTAACCATAACCACACAAGCCTAGCCTGCTGTCATCTTTTAATATACATGTGCACGCACACAGACATACACACACACATATACACACACACAAACACACATACACACAGACAGTTATTATTTAAGCTGCCTGTCCACCTTTGACCCTATGCAGCTCAGGTAGCTATGCGCTCTTTATCTCTTTTCTCACTGTTTTTCTATGCACTTTTTGCAGGGCCCAGCAACTCTCTGTTGTTTTCCACTGTGTTTTAATTTTGGATGGTGCAATGATGACATTCCTTTACCAGACAATGGATGGAAAGGATTGAAGCAACAGCTCTGCTTAATTGTCCATATTCCAATGCATCCACCATGTTCACAATGGTCGCATGTAACATACGATGCTTTGAGAAATGTTTCATGTCAGAAAGACAGACACGTCAACAGCTGTAAAGAATATTTGTGCACTGCACCGAAGACATGAATGGAGTCTGAATTATAGCTTGGCTGAATCTGAAGGTGTTTTATAACGTCATGCTAGTCATAAATTACCAACAGTATATTGCAAAGGCTCGTAAAAGGTTGCGATTTTTGTCACCAAATGTTTGGGCTGAGATTCTTAGAACTAAAGGCAATGCATGGGCTGAGGCCAAGCTTCCTGTCGAGGGCTAGGGTATGTTATTGTTTAGAAGGATGTGTGGAGGAAACGGCTGTGTCTATGGGTGAAAGTGCTCAGAGCTGGAGAGGTTGATGTTTGGTTTGCTGTTGGTTTCTAGGGAAACGCTGAGTTGATGTTTAGTTGATGTTGTGTTTGCTGTTTGTTTGTAGAGAAAGTAGAGTGGGTGATGTTTGGTTATTATTGGTTTATATCAGACTCAGAGCTCTTAAAGGTACAATCTAGAAGATGTTCTGCTGTTCAATGGTCCATTTAATTGATACCCATAGGGATATTTCTAGTCTCTAGGCCACTCTCAGTAACGTCTATCCAAGTTGAGAGGTCAGTGGTAGGATAACTCCATTGAAACGAAAACCAATGAAGAAAGTGGTCCTTTTAGACAAAGATTGTGAAACGCTGATGTTGAATTTTGAAAACCTAAGCAGTTATTTATATTTGTTTTCTCTCTCTCTCTCTCCCCATCTTTCTCTCTCACTCGCTCTCACTCGCTCTCTCTTTCTCTCTCTCACTCTCACTCTCACTCTCACTCTCTCTCTCTCTCTCTCTCTCTCTCTCTCTCCTCTCTCTCTCTCTCTCTCTCTCTCTCTCTCTCTCTCCTCTCTCTCTCTCTCTCTCTCTCTCTCTCACTCTCTCACTCTCGGGGGTGGGGCAACGTTTCATGGGGGTACTGTGGTGGTTTAAGTCAAAGTCTCTCCCTCTCTTGCACCCACCAGGCCGTGGCAGCGACTCAGAGTCCGATGCCGGACCCCACGGGGGCAGGAAGCTGCCGGACGTGCGCAAGGATGACATGCTGGCTCGGCGGACCTCGGTGAGCGAGCTCCGAGTGATGGTGCCCTTCAATCAGTACCTGCCCAACAAGAGCAACGCCAGTGGCTACGTGCCCACACCACTGCGCAGGAAGAGGGGCGACCGCGAGGGCCGGGAGGAGGGCAGTGGAGGGGGTGGGGGCAGCCGCAAAAGCTGGAGTACCGCCACCTCGCCCATAGGAGGCGATATACCCTTCAGGTGAGCATTGGTGATGTAGTAGTAGTAGAAGTGATAGACAGTGGTGGTAGTAGGCTCTGTTCCAATCGAAGTGGAATGCTAGTATGGATATTGGATCGTAGCCATGGTGTCATTTGGTAAATGTGTTGTTGCCACTCTTTTCTCCAGGAAAACTTGCTATTTGTAACTTGCATGTACAGTGCTGCTTGAAAGTGTGTGAACCCCTTGTGCAATTACAGATTTTTGCAGTTTTTACCATGAACTCTTCGTTTAATCAGAACCAGTCTTTTTGATCTGACATAACAGATTTATATTTACCAAACCATATGTTGGTGTAGAGGAAATCATGCGTGTAGTAGAAAAACTAAACTAAAAAGGAATTAGTGCAGGTGCAAAAATAAGTGAACCCCAAGTTGCATTGGTTAAATCAAGTAGGTAAGTAGAATCAGGTGGGTAAATAATTAGCTACCAAATGAACCAATCAAAGGAGAGATCGTTAGGAAAGATTTTGGGTGGGGCTCCTGGTAAGAAACCTGGTCAATTTGGTGTTACCCATCCAGGTGAATGCAAAGCACACTATGCTGAGAGGAAAGGAGAGCTCAGAGGATATCAGGACGAGGTTAGTGAGAGCACATCAGTCTGGGGAAGGCTATAAAATCATCTGAAAAAGATTTGAGCTCCATCAGTCCACTGTGAGGCAAATAATTTACAAATGGAGAGCATTTAACCTGACAGCAACTGGGCCTAGAAGTGGACGCCCTTCCAAAATATCCCCAAGAGCCACAAGAACAATAATAAATCAGGTAAAAGCCAACCCAAACATAATATCTAAAGATTTGCAGACCTCCCTTGCTGCATCTCAGGTAACTGTGCATGCTTCAACAATAAGAAGAACACTGAATCAAAATGCCATTCATGGGAGGGTTGCTAGAAAGAAGCCTCTGCTGTCAAAAAGAACCAAACTGCCCGTCTTAACTTTGCCAGAGACGTGGTATAAGGCACTGCATCGCAGTGCTAGCTGTGCCACTAGAGATCCTGGTTCGAGTCCAGGCTCTGTCACAGCCGGCCGCAACCGGGAGACCAATGGGGCGGCGCACAATTGGCCCAGCGTCATCCAGGTTAGGGGAGGGTTTGGCCGGAAGGGATGTTCTTGTCCCATTGCGCACTAGCTACTCCTGTGGCAGGCCGGGCGCAGTGCACGCTGACACAGTTGCCAGGTGTACGGTGTTTCCTCCGACACATTGGTGCGGGTGGCTTCCGGGTTAAGCGGGCATTGTGTCAAGAAGCAGTGCGGCTCGGTTGGGTTGGGTTTCGGAGGACGCACGTCTCTCGACCTTCGCCTCTCCCGAGTCCGTATGGGAGTTGCAGCGATGGGACAAGACTGTAACTACCAATTGGATACCACGAAATTGGGGAGAATAAAAGGGGTAAAAAAAATTAAAAAATACAAATTAAAGTAAAATTATACACTTTGCCAGGGACCACCTGGACAAAGGTTTCTGGAAGTCCATTCTCTGGACCGATGAGTCCAAAATTGACATTTTTGGTCACAATCAACACCACTATGTTTGGCGAAAACCCAACACTGCCTACCACCAAAATAACCTTATCCCAACAGTCTAGCATGGTGGTGGGAATGTCAAGATCTGGGGCTGCTTTTCCTCCTCTGGACCTGGATGACTCCACATCATTAAGGGAACCATTAATTCAGCGGTATACCAGGAGATTCTTGAACAGAATGTCAGGCCATCAGTCAAGGAGCTAAAGCTGGGCCGAAAATGGGTCATCCAACAAGACAACGACCCAAAGCATTCAAGCAAATCTACCAAAGAATGGCTCAGGAGAAAGAAAATGTGTGTTTTGGATTGGCCAAGTCAAAGTCCTGACCTAAATCCAATCGAGATGCTGTGGCAGGACCCGAAGCAGGCAGTTCATGCCAGACACCCCTCAAACCTCACTCAATTGGCTGAGTTCTGTAAGGAGCAGTGGGCAAAAATCCCTCAAAACAGATGTCAGAGACTGATTACTGGCTATAGGAGACATTTAGTCCAAGTTATCGCTGCTAATGGAGGTGCCACAAGCTATTGACTGAAGGGGTTCACATATTTTTGCACACATCAAATCTGAGTTTGTGTTAAATAAACCACTTTTGTTAAATAAATCTTATTTGCTGATATAGTATTTGTCATATATTGAGGAAGTACCTCCCATATTCATGTTGTTCACTAAAGTGATAACTGTTCTCCAAAATACTCATCACCACTCGATTCCTTCCTGAGACGGTTCTCTGGATGAGGCCCATATTGAGATGATTTGCTTTATTTACACAGCAAGAGAGGAGGTTGGCGTACACTCCTTAGCTGCTCGTTAGCCTAGCGTTCTGTGTTAGCCACGGATAACACGCGCCAAATGGGCCATCAATCTAAACATTAGCCAAAATGCTAACGGCTCGTTCTCTGTTATTACCATTGAGACAAAACAAACTCGGAGTGCTTATTCTTTATTTTCTAAAAGTGTCAGCATGTGATGATGGACTGCTTCTCTCCATATCACTGATTTGTTATTTCTTCCACCAGATCTGACACAGCACATCAAAAACAGCTACCTCCAGCCAATTTTCCTTCATACTGTAATTCCCAAAATACACAAGGGAGACTGGAAATGTCCTGTCTGATGTGGAACATGCATGTTTAAAGAGATTCTCCTGTACTTTTGTATACTTTTTAGCCAGTAGTTCTGAAAGTAGTTCTCACGAGCCAAAAGTGGTCCCTGAAAATTGTATGCTAAATTACGTATGTGCAGATATGTGCACCACGTCATTTCTCTCTCTCTCGCTCTGCTGTGGGTGCATCATGTGCGTATTGATAGCTGCATCTCTTATGGCGAGGGGCTGAAGCTCATTGGTTGAGCTCGAATTGCTAGGGGGCTGGCCCACATGGGGGAAAATGTAGGGAAAATGGCGCAGCACGGCTTCTAGAAAAACAGTTGCTTTCAAACTAGGTATTTCATGGCTAATTAAGGTAAGACAGTAATTCTGCTCATAGATTATTCATGTATGATCTACACATTGACACATCCAGCTCAATGCCAGTGTAGCTCAGTTGGTAGAGCATGGCGCTTGCAATGCCAGGGTTGTGGGTTCGATTCCCACTGGGGCCACTAACTGTAAGTCGCTCTGGATAAGAGCGTCTGCTAAATGACTAAAATGTAAAATGTAAAGCGTGAGTTAAAAAATACTTGGTAGTCACCAAAGTTCTGGAGCAGGTCTTTAAGAAAATGAAAAATATATATTTTTTGGTACTGTGGTGGCGTGAAGGGAGGGGTTGATGGAGACCAGATGTGTGTCTTGATTAGCCGAGGCCGAAGCACTCAGAGAAAAGCCAGCAACAGGCGAGACATTTGCTATGCAGACACAGATGGGTGACTCCTAAAATGTGTGAGCGACTTTGGCTACTATATGACTCGGTTGAGTGTTGTTGGAAAACGATATCAAAACAGCATATTGAGGTTTTCATGAAACTAAAATACGGCTTGTTCCACTCATCTCGTAATAAGGTAATGCTAACCCTATCTGAGTACATGTATGTGGACGTGTGCATGCGTCAGTGTATTTCTACGCCTCTGTGTGTATTTGTGCGTGCGCTTGCATGAGATCTTGAGATGGGCTTGACCTTTTTTACCGAGGTCATCGGGTCCCTGACCAATACCAACCAGTACATTATTCTTCATTCAGCTTGTTCTGATTTTCAGTGACTCTTTATTCAAATGCTTTGAGGTTGTTATTACATCATCGTTACGTTCTGTTTATTTGCTCTTCTTTCCTTTCACATGTTTCCATTGGTGTTGTTCCTTTTTGGTACTCCCATTGTCATTGTGCATATGATCACATTATGACTGTGTTTTGTGGTAATGCTTGCGTGTTTCACATGTCTTGTGGCTTTGTTTGTGCTACGCTGTGTCATGGTTGCATGTTGGTGTTGTTGTGATTGCCTCTTGTGTGGGTGTGCGTGCATGTGTGTGTATAACAGTCCAACTGAACTCCCCACCCTAGAGTTACCCCCAGTTATAGCCCCTATTGAGCCCCCGTCCCCCGAGCCCCAAGCCCAACCCCTTCCCCAACCACAGAATCAGTCAGAAGAAGAACACAGGGGCGAGGAAGAACAGGAGGAGAGGAAAGAGGAGAAAGGGAGGTTGACCCCGGCATGCCCGTGGAGACAGGAGTGGAAGGAGAGGGAGGAGGAGTATGAACTTCACTCCTACACCCCCCCTCAGCGCTCAAAGACCCCCACACTCACCCACAGGGAGACGGCTATACACCTGACTGTGACTGCTGAGCAAAGGTGCCAATCACTGTATGCCCTAACCCCTAAAGCCAAAACCCTAACCCCTCACCCCAACCCAACAACCCCCATTTCCTTTTAATAACCCCTTACCCCAACAATCCCCAGACAAGAGACTTTTCCGTAAAGTCTCTATTGTCTCATCAAGCCACAGTTCCAATGACCCCAACTTAATTTCCCTGTAAGATGTATTGAACTAAGGTGCCAATTTGATTTCCTTGTTCACTGTTTTGGTGATGACACCTTTAAACACGCCCATGCAGACACTTCTGCAGACAACTACTTACACAAACTCTGAGAGATTCAGTGAACCATTTCATAAGAACATAACTTTGCCTGTTATTTTCCGACAAGGACATGACTGATGCTCATTTGGGGCCGTGGTGAGTTGAATTTGGATCCACCCTGTGAATATGTCTGCTTTCTCTGGCCTCGATAATATCTGAAGACCTGGCTTGTCACTATGTTGGCTGACTAACCACACTAAAGATGAAATAGGACTTATGTACAGAGCATGTTCCAAGACTGCGTCCTAAATGGCACACTATTCCCGATATAGTGCACTATGGGCCCTGGTCAAAAATAGGGGCACTATATAGGGAATACGGTGCCATTTAGGACATACCCAAGGTCCAAGGAACATTCCAAACATAAGTTGTGCTGTGGCCTAGTGCTGTGAAAACCAAGCTCAGACGTTTGGGGTTTTGGTGTTTGCCAGGAGTCTGCTGTTTGCAATGTTTGTTGTCCTCTTTATTTCTGAGGAGTCGCTCTATGTGTTCCTGGCAGTTGTATTGACATCCGTCCTTTAGCAACTCCTTATGGCCTTCTGCCTGTTAGTTGTTTGGCTACTGTTGTTTACAGTTGCATTCTAGTAATTTAACATACGCTCTTATCCAGAACGACTGTCGGTGCTTTCAACTAGGTCATAGGTAAAACAACCACACATGTGTATTACAAGAGGGTATTTGAAATGCACAAACTCAAATGGCATTAATTTGTTCCCTTCTTTCTGGATAAATGGGTGTTATATCTCCTTTCGACAGAGATTGACCTCATGACCTATGAAGAGAGTATTTTTCTGATTGATCACATGGCAACATGGTGCTATTGGCGGAGTCGATATTCACGTAATAAGAAGGAATTCCCCTCGACCACACCCACAAATTGGGGAAAACAAATATTATTTCCCATTGACCCCCAGTGTAAAAGAGCCAACTTCGTCAACAGAAATAACTAAACATGCCAGGTCAAAATCCCTGACCTACAGTTCACAATACTCCCACATAGGGAAATAGAGCCTGCGATAAGAGCCCTGTGGCTTCAGGCTATTCACCATAGGAGAGTGGGAAATGTGGGGACCCGGTGTCCAAGTACGCTACACAGAGCTATGTGTGTGGAAAACATTTCATCACAGGTAAGTCATTTAACTTGTTTAGTAAAGTCAGTTTGTAACTCCACTCACTACTTGTAGCTGTATAGTCTGTTTGTTTGTGTTGTTGGGCTTGGCTAGCTAATGTTTCCGGTCGGTAGCTAGCTCGCACTCGCTCACGTGGCTGCTAGCACCGTCATGAAAAGGGGCATGAGGGAAGCCCTACAATATAACATGTTTCTAAGTAGTGAGAACGCTCGGGCAGTGTTGCCAACTATTTTTCAGTGAGATCCGCTATTGGCTCTTTGATTTGTCGCTAGAAGTTGCTAGATGACATTTTGTGGTTGCTGCGACGACGTCACAGTACCAATTTGCCTTGCTGTGGCACAGCTGCAGTCCCCAACGTAGTGTTTTCGTCCCTTCTCCCGTCGGATACCCCCTCCCCTGGTGCTTCTCTGCCTGTGTGTGTGTCATTGCTGTGACTTCTGTTACAGACAGCTTCTCCCACTCTCGTTTGTGGCAGAATTTAGTGGGAAAAGTCGCTAAATGCTATTAAAACCATAGAAACCCTCGTCAAAACTCCCCAAAGGCGGCCTGAAAAATAGTTGCATTTGTCGCTAGAATCTTTTACCAATAAAAGTCGCTGGAGGGCTGAAAACTTGCTAAATATAGCGACAAAGTCACTAAATTGGCAACACTGCGCTCGGGAGCAGGCAATGTTTAAAAGTAATCTTTAGACATGGTGTACTGTTCTTCAATGTAGTTTTTAATTGACTAAAACAAGCAGACAACAAAAAAATTGCATTTGAATAAGGTGAAGTTTTTGCTGTGAGCCAATGGGGTAACCTAGGTAACCACAGGTTGTTTTCCCCAGAGGCGGGCAGGGCCGCTACGTTCTATCTAATACCGACTGAGTCTATGGCACTGGTTGGAGATAATCAGCAAGTCACCATGCTGCCGTTGTATATGGCAAACACACGTTGGTTGTTCACGCACACACACACACATTTGATATAGATGCAGCCTTGCACACACACACACACACACACACACACCAAATACTTGCCATAGTCTAGCTAGCCTACCCATACTGTGTTACAGTATTTTATATATCCAGATTGATTTTTTGCTATACAACACACAGGGAACCCACCCTCAGGAAGTAGGAAATGAGAGGTCCTTCCGCCTCTGAACCACGACCAGGGCTGGGATATGGTGTGCCCTTCTCACTGCCTGAACAGCTGTACACATTCTCAATGGCACACATCCTGAACATGGAAGAGGACATTACATTAGATCTTTTTCTGAATTTTTTCAATGACGGACAGTGGTAACAGTGTGATAATGAAAATGACTCGTAGAATGTAAGGCCTAGTATAATATTGGTAAGGAGAAAAGTCATTTTTAGTAGCTTGAACCATGTATTGAAAATGTTTATTAAGAGTGGGGCTATTTAAGTTAACTGTGCCTATGCGTCAAGCAAATAATAATATTGTTTTTGGGGGTAGTTACCAAAGCTGACTAGCTATAGCTATTGTGGGTTTTCTCCCAATACAATCTTTGTGAGTCACTAGTGTTTTGTCTGCTTTTCTTCCGAAATCTACCTTCCAGGTGTACTAATGTGAGTTTTTATAATAGGATTTGAATCGAAAGGATTTTGTGTATGTGTGTTTGGGTATGATTCTGCATCTGTGTCTGAAATGGTTCCACAACCCTTAAGAACAAACCCTTTCGATTCAAGGCCAAGGTCATTATACTACAACAATTACGGGAAGGGCACGGTTAATCTAATATCCGGATATCTGAATGGACGTTATTATTCGATTACTTGAGTGAGTGTTCATTTTTGGATAAAACAATTTTTGGCCCTATTTTAATGCTTTGTTATCAATTAAATTAGATCATCCTTGTGATATTGTTGCCTACAAGGATCTACCATGTCATTTGAAATACTTAATTTAATAAAACAAACTTTTGAATGTCGTTTTTACAGTGGTGAGCTACTGCTGCGCATTTAGCCCTCCAGGCTGCCCTATTTCTCCCACTTCAAATAGCAATTACAGGCACACACCTAACAGAGTTTCCAAAAGACCTGAAACCGATCAATGCAAGACACTCACCAGAATATATTTTTGTAACAGAATCAATTATATTATGGTGGAAATCAGACTTCTCTTTCACTGTTGGGTTGTTCCACCTCAAAAAGCACAAGAAAGTAGATTTCAACACCGACCATCTCAGATTGTTCTGAAATCGTTTCTGTTAGAAACAGATAAGATTAGCATTCGTGCAACATTATCTTGTTGAAATATAATTTAATCTCTGAGAAATTAAGCTAATTGGTTGCGCCCAAATTGGCCATTTTAATTCATAAGATTCAGATAATATTAAATAAATATAGTACCAAACATTTTTCTAACAATGAGTAAGACATGAGGAATCCAAAGAAATGGTCAAAGGTCACCCAAGGACCCCTCACACCCCATGTCAATCCCACCCCAAAAACGAGTATATAGTATCAGTTATCTATGTCTGACAAGTAGTATGGAGCTGCGGATCGGAGTATTGTTTCTTCATCCTATGTAATGTATTCTCAGTTAATTTGGTGTTGTTTTTTTCCCCCTGTTCAGAGAAATTAGTCATTGAAGTTGTTAGGTTTATATCCCATCCTACATCCTGATATTACCAGATTTTAACCGCTAGATGGTGCTGTTCCTACTATTAGGTGAACAAAGTTTGAAGAATGTGTGGTCCAAATTGGATGTTGGGTACATTTTACATTTTAGTCATTTAGCAGACGCTCTTATCCAGAGCGACTTACAGTTAGTGAGTGCATACATTTTCATACTGCCCCCCCGTGGGAATCGAACCCACAACCCTGGCATTGCAAACGCCATGCTCTACCAACTGAGCTACACGGGGCCACTATAATTATTGAATATTATATGAAACCTTTAAATTAAAATGGGCAATTTCTCAGAGATTAAATTATATTTCAACAAAATAAAGTTGCCGAATGCTTAACTTATCTGTTTCTAACCATTTCAGAACAATCTGAGATGGTAAGTGTCATGGCTTGCTGAAATGACATGGAACGACCCTGTTGCTTTTAGCCAAAAACTACCGGAGAAAGCAGCCTTCCGCTGTTTACCTCTGCCACGTGCATTTGTGTAATTATGATTGGTCAAGAGAGACGAGCATTTATTTTTTTAGAATTTAGACTATCTAGTTAGCGGTAAGCGCTAGTAGCATTTCAATTGGTGACGTTACTCGCTCTGAGACCTTGAAGTAGTTGTTTCCCCGGAAGCAACACTGTTACATTGCCTCGCCCCAATGTAACAGTGTTGCTTCCGTCCCTCTCCTCGCCCCTACCTGGGCTTGAACCAGGGACCCTCTGCACACATCGACAACAGTCACCCTCGAAGCACCGTTACCCGTCGCTCCACAAAAGCCGCGGCCCTTGCAGAGCAAAGGGAAACAACTAGTTCAAGGTCTCAGAGCGAGTGACGTCTCCAATTGAAACGCTACTAGCGCGCACCGCTAACTAGCTAGCCATTTCACACCGGTTACATGGATATCCTAATTTGTTTTATTATATTATTTCAATAGTGAAATAATGTCAAATGCCCTACGACCTTGGTCAATGCTAACCGAACCACTCTCTCAGCAGTAGCCCCGCCCGCTCATGCTCCGAGGAACTATACCGCCCGTCATCCCTGACAACCAGCCCCATGACTACCTCCATCGTCGTGACGAGCCCCCTTAGCCCCAGGGCCAGCCTGGACACAACCAAGAAGTTCCCTCCCCCTACCATGATTGACAGGGAGGAGGCGGGGCCAAAGAAGGTGGGGCTGTCCATATCACTGGTGACAGACACGGGGAGGAACGACGACATGTGGGCTCGCCGCACCCTTACCTCGCCAAAATACGGCGGCACCACTGGTCCAAGCCAATTCCTGCCCGTTCCTGCAGCTGGGGCAACCACCACGCTGACCATCACCTGCCAGGGTCGCATGGGAAAGTCGGAGGTTGAAGGTCGCGACGGCGACAAACCAGCTGTGGCGAAATGTCCATCTTGGCTTGACGACGACCTCCCTCCAATGTGAGCCTGTCGTCCATTGACTAGGATTGAGTGACCGATACAAAATGCTCAGTTGGCTAAGGGAGGAGCATCACACCTAAACGGACACAACATATTGGGTTTCTCCCAGCCTACCCAGATCAGATACAGAGAACTACATTACCCATCATCCTTCAGTAGACATTTAGAAATCCTGCTTCATACGCATGCGGCCGTGCCCTCGAGCAGTGATGCACACCTCTGGATGGCAAACGTGAAGATTGCATGACCTTTCGCTATTAATACTTTTTGGGTTTGTATGTTTTTGCACATGTGAGGATGATTTGACAGTGACCTTTAAATATCCTTGCATGGTGACCTTTGAAATTTGACCTTTTCCAATACACACTGGTTACAGCAACTCCCTCAAAATCGTATTTACATTGTATTACTTCTTAGTTTTGTCCAAGGAATGTTGCTATTTAATAATTGTTGAATATACAGGGCTGTGCATGTATGCGTCAATGTGCTTAAACACTTGCAAATATATGCATACATGGTAAACATATTACATAGAGTTGACTGAAACTCTGTTACTAGAATACATTGATCACACTGGTAGTAGTAGAAAATATGGCCTTTCGCTCTGTGTGGCAGATATGACACATATATGACAAATACATACAGCCCGTAAAACAATATATCTGCTGTCCATTTCGTAAGACCTCTCGTCACTGGGTTTCCCCCTTTCTTGTGGCTAGTCTTAATAGGACCACAAGACACACTTTCACTCACACCCTTCCCAACGTCAGAAAGGCAGCTTTAAAAGCTCTCTGTGGCCCAGAACTTAAACCCAAACCCGATTAACCCAAACCTCCAATTTGGGTATTGTGGTGGCAAAAGACGAAGAAACCCAGCTTTGAAGATGTGTTATGAGCAGGCTAATAAAATATGCATGCTTTTATTGCTAGTTTTATTTTAGACTGCATCATGAGATCATTTCCATCTGCGCCATACAATAGAGGCCTATAGTGCAGTGAATTCTGTGGGTTTTTTCCCCAAGTGCTGAGCTGGTTGTGTTCTTGTTTAGAGTGCCACCTTGTGTTCAAATGGACACTGTTTTTATCAATCTGTAGATCTATCCAGAATAACCATACTGTAAACCCATTGTTCTGCTATTTAAGACAATAATTGCTCACTTTGTAATAATACTGAACCTACAGTATCTCATTAAACTCTCATGATTGTTTACAAAGAGCTCATAGTGTTGTCAACGGTAACCCATAGAGTAAACCTCCAGGTGTTTTCAACACACATCCTATATTCCTTATATCAGACTTCTTTACTATTCTCATATCTGTATGTATTGTGTTGTAGTTGTGTGTATGTTCATTAGTGTGCTCTTTCTCCATGTCTCTGCTTTCGTAGATTCAGTCACAGAGCTGCTAGTGTGTCAGATGACCCAGAGTAAGTGGTTCTTTGTTACCCATCGGCAGTACATCCCTGCTAAACCACACCTGCCAAGTATGCCAACTTCTAGACATGTCTATCTGTAGGGAGTTGATGGGTGTAAGCAATATGGTGGAAACTCTGGACTATTGGACTTTTAACCATGTTACACCCATCCTATTCATTCAGATTTAGCAGGGAGGGACTAGCGGTTGACTTCAAATGAAGATGCTTGTGTTTGTAACCAGCTTCTGTCATCTGCATGTCTCACTCACACTCACTCTCAAACGCAAACGCTGGAACTCAAGACGCGCGCATGAATCCTAACTGCAAGGGTGAACCCTAAAATGTCTGCGAGACACTTATCCAGCCTCACCGAGTTGCTGTGTATCTTATAGCTTTCGAGGGTCTAATGTGGAATGGGGTGGCCCTAGATTACTCTCCTGTCTTGTGGACAGCTCATAGTCTCGTAAACCCCAGACGCTAGGCAACAGCAGTGACTAGGGTCTGATTTCAATAATGGACTCTTTTGGCAACTTCGATAAGGGGGGAAGAAATTGTTCCGGGGTGGGTCCTCTTCAGACAGACAACTCTCCCAACAAATCACGAGGCAGACATGCCTGAATGTCGTGATTCAAAACCAAAGTTTGCAGGCAAAAGCTTGCAGTGGTTTTACATTAACATTTCCATTTTAGTCATTTAGCAGACGCTCTTATCCAGAGCGACTTACGTTAGTGCATACATGTTTTTCGGGTGGGGGGCGCCGTGGGATTTATTTAAGATACTCTTTAAAGAGGTAGGGTTTCAGACATTTTCAGAAGATGGTCAGTTTTAGTGAAGGTAGCTGATGCAAACTAGCCACTTGCGAAATGCACTCATTGAAAATAACCTCTGTGATCTTCATCTTGCTAGCTGCTATTTAGTATTTTATTCAAGCAGATGAAGTAGTGACGTAGTTCTTCTATACCAAACTGATGTTCTATTACGTTCAGCCGCTGTTCAGCCGGAAAATTTTTGTGGGAGACTAGAGAGCTCACCATATGATGCATGTCTCATACACTCACACACAAGGATATGTACCAGCACTGTAACAATGTATGAGGATCTCACTGTGGTTCTCAAAACAAGACCTGGATCAAATGTATAACTGATGCTCTGTGCTGTGTACAGATAGGCGACTGTATATATGACCTTTTGACAGCATGTTGCTTTACATGTTATCATCTGCCTTTAATTATTAACGTTATCTCTGCTGCCTTCTGTTTTGCATGGTTCTACACAGTATAATACAAACTAATGTATACAGAAGAGTAATATCCAATAATATAATATGTGTGGTATTGTCAGAATAATAATGAGTTCCTTTTGGGTTTTGAGTACAGAAGGTGTATCTGACCATTGACCCTGTTTGACCTTTCCTGGCTGAACTATCATCACTACGGCAACTCCAGAGCTCCAGAAAACATTACTCCATTACTGTGCCTGAAAATAAAACACTTTCTGTCTATACCGTATACATGACTTCTCTCCCAGTGAATCTCTCTATAACTCCTTCCATCTCCTTGTTCCCCTCTCTCCTCTCTTGTCTTCCCCTCTCTCCTCCCTTGTCTTCCCCTCTCTTCCCCTCTCTCCTCCTCCCTTGTCTTCCCTCTCTCCTCTCTTGTCTTCCCCTCCTCCACTTGTCTTCTCCTCCCTTGTCTTCCCCTCTCTCCTCCCTTGTCTTCCCCTCTCTCCTCTCTTGTCTTTCTCCCTCTCTCTCCTCCCTTGTCTTCCCCTCTCTCCTCTCTTGTCTTCCCCTCTCTCCTCCCTTGTCTTCCCCTCTCTCCTCTCTTGTCTTCCCCTCTCTCCTCCTTGTCTTCCCCTCTCTCCTCCTCTTGTCTTCCCCTCTCTCCTCCTCTTGTCTTCCCCTCTCTCCTCCCTTGTCTTCCCCTCTCTCTCTTTCTTCCCCTCTCTTCTGTCTTCCCTTCCCTCTCCCCCTGTGTCTTCCCCTCTCTCCTCCCTTGTCTTCCCCTCTCTCCTCTCTTGTCTTCCCCTCTCCTCCCTTGTCTTCCCCTCTCTCCTCCCTTGTCCTTCCCCTCTTCTCCTCCTTGTCCTTCCCCTCTCCTCCCTCCCCCTTGGCTTCCCCTCTCTCCTCCTTGTCTTCCCCCTCTCTCCTCCCTTGTCCCCTTCCCCCCTTCTTCCTCCGCTCCTTGTTCCTTCCCCCTCTCTCTTGTCTTCCCCCTCTCTCCCCCTTGTCCTTCTCCTCGCTCTCTCTTGTCTTCCCCTCTCTATCCTCCGCTTGTCTTCCCCCTCTCCTCCTCCCTTGTCTTCTCCCCTTCTCTCCCTTTGTCCTTCCCCCTCTCTCCTCTCTTGTCTTCCCCTCTCTCCCTCCCTTGTCTTCCCCCTCTCTCCTCGTCTTGTCTTCCCCTCCTCTCTCTCTTTCCTTGTCGTTGCCCCTCTCTCCTCCCTTGTCTTCCCCTTTCTCCCTCCTTGTCCTTCCCTCCACACTCTCTCCTCTCTTGTTCCTTCCCCTCTCTCCTCTCTTGTCTTCCCCTCTCTCCTCTCTTGTCTTCCCCTCTCTCCTCTCTTGTCTTCTCCTCTCCTTTCTCTCCTTTCTTTTCTCAGGAGTGTGAGTATGATTGACATGCGTTGTGAGGAGGACGGCATCTTGCCACACCACAGCCAGGTGCGCCACGAGCTCATGCACAACCAGTACAACATGATGAAGGAAGAAGAGGACCACTGGCAGGACGTAAGCACTCACTCACACACACACATCCTAATACACTTTCATACACACACTCGTACACTTACACACACACACTTACACACTCACGCATTCATACAGTCATACATCTACTGTCTGTGTGTTAGGACCTAGCCCGGTGGAAGAGTCGCAGGAGAAGCGTCTCCCAGGACCTGATCAAGAAGGAGGAAGAGAGGAAGATGATGGAGAAGCTGATGACGGGTGAGGGAGGAGCCATCTCTCAGAGGAGGAAGAGCATCAAGACCTATCGGGAGATCGTTGAGGAGAAGTACGTCACAAGGAAATCCTCAATTTTAGGTCAAACCCTGGTTTCCATATTGTTGGTTGTCTCCATGTACAGTATAGGCCTATACCTACTCTCTTCTATCCGGGCCTGTTGTTTTTTTATCTCATCCTGGCCTCAACCTATTTTATAACTGCATCAGGGGATCATAGCCGGGTAATAAGGCTTGATTCCCGCTTATGGCTAGAAAGAAGCTTGTTCAGGCCACTTTTCTCTCTGTATTTGAATATGGTGACTTGTTGTATATGCATGCAGCCTCCTCTGTATTACAGATACTGGACTCTGTTTATCATGCATCCTTGCGCTTTATTACAAATGCCAAGTCACTCACCCACCATTGCACCTTGTACCAAATGGTGGGTTGGACCTCACTTTATATGCGCAGAAAGATACTTTTATATGTGTTCATCTACAAAGCTCTTTTGGGTAAACTCTCTCTTTACCTCTGTAGTCTGGTCTCCTTCACCACCAGCAGTTACCATACCCGGTCTGCTAGGTGGTTGCTACTTAAAGTCCCCATTTACAGTATTAAGCAAGACTGCCTACTCGTCTTGTGCACCAGAGGCATGGAATAGTCTACAATCCATGCTTCATCTAGATATGTTAGTGCCACTGAATTAATTTACATTTTTTATGGGAGACTCTGTTACAGAGGAGTGTAAATGCTTATTTTAGGCTGGATCATGTTGTTGTGTTGTGTTATTGTATGTTTTAATTCTGTAATGTATTGATTGTTGCTGCCTTCTTGGCCAGGTCTCCCTTGAAAAAGAGACTCTGGGTCTCAATGGGCTTTTCCTGGTTAAATAAAAATAAAAAATAGCAATGTACACATGTTTCAACAATGATGCTTTCGTCAGTGTGTAGCCAGTCACATGGCCCCTGTCTCACCTTGTCCTCCCGTCTCTCCTCCCCTAGGGAGCGTCGTGAGAACGACCTCCGCGAGGCCTACCGGTTGGCCCGCACACCCGAGGAGGCGGCGTTGGTCCTCCACCGCTATGCCCAGCGCTTCACCATTAGTGAAGCGGTGCTAGAGCGCCTGCAACTGCCCAAACTACTGGACAGGAGCATCTCTGAGGATCCCACTGCTACCACCAACACACGTCTCACCCTCACCCCAACTTCCTGTTCTCCCACCCCCACCTCCCCGGAAGAAGATCCAAATGGCCCCCTAAAGTACCTGAGGCAGCAGTCGCTCCCAGCACCCAAGTTTACCGCTACTGTCGAGGCCCAGGTGGTGGGGTTCCCCCAGGATCCGTCTCATCGCCCCCAGATTCGGTCGTGCAAGCCTGAACCAAACCCCTCTATCCGGGCTGTCTCACCCAAGTCTGTGCCTTTGCTGATGCCCAAGCCTTACAGCCAACCCAAGGGCATGCAGATGCTGGTGGGACCCAGGCCAGGCAAGGTGAGGCACAAAATGCCAGCTAATGGCAAGGGTTTTATCAGTGTTATCACTAGTGTATTTTACTATAAAATTGTGTTTGAACCAGGGTTTCAATTACCAGGGTACCATGGGGTTGTTTGCCATTCATCCCCCAAAGTAGTTTGAATGTTTTGTTCAGCCTAGTCTTCCAAGGGCACACCAAGATGTATTGTGTAAATGGAACCCTGATCTTGGCATTTACATTAGAATAGCAGACAGAAACCATGGAGATTGGGTGTCATGTTTTCAGTCAGAAACCATGGAGATTGGGTGTCATGTTTTCAGACAGAAACCATGGAGATTGGGTGTCATGTTTTCAGACAAAAAGATAGAAATCCCTTTTCCCTTTTCCCCAAGTCTGTTGCAACGTCTCAATTCAGCATAACAGGATGTTCATTTTCATCCTCAGAGCCATTCCAATGGAAGATAACATGGTTTGGGGTTATTATGGGAACAAACCGGGACTTCTTCCCACTTCTGTGTCTGGAATCTCTTATTTGGAGCTGAGTGGAGCCTGAATGGAGGGCTCTGTTCCGTATTGACTTAAGAAGTTGACAAGTAGGCCCTCTCAATGTGAAGTGGGTCTCCGGGCAGACAGAGAGGACCACACAGACTGAGGGGGGATTGTGGGTAGTGAGTCCCCCTCCATTCAACAACCCCCCTGTGTGTCTGGAGTTAGCACTTTGCGCTCCTCACACATACATTACAGCCTTTCATTTAGTCCCAGCATGTTATCAGGGGCTAGCTGAATATCTTATAGGCCAGAGTTACATGAATGAGTTAGGGTTTTATTTACAACATGGGGAAACTTCCGGTCTGGGTGGTCTGGAATAGAACTGTCTGGTCATATTGCGGTCGTTGCTGTGGAGTGTGGTATTTGGGAGGTTTCATCCCAGTTGACTGTTCTTGTTTTGCTGTCTGAAGGATATTTTTGGTGAGGATACTGTGTCTCTAAAATGGGGTTTATGTGTTGGATTTTTACATTGAAATGCATCTCTGTAGTGTGTGTGCTGTATGTATGTGCATACATGTGTGTTTTCTCTAAGCCTTCAGTCTCTAACCTGTGTACTCAGGTGGACGACTTGCTGCGAGTGAACGGCGACATGGGCAATGATGAGGTCACCACTCCAGAGAGCGAGGGAAGGACCTCCCCGCTACTGTTCTACCCCTCCCCTGCCACGCCTACAGCCTCCTCTGACGGTTCCGACACACCCCCATGTGAGGCCACTCTCCTACCCACACATAGCCCCTCCCCCAGGGCAAGCCCATTACCAGCCAAGCTAGCTGTGGCACAGGGTGGCACAGGCACTGCAGTGACATCTTCTTCAGTGCCAGGAGAAAGTGATGCCCAGGAGAAGGGTAATGCACAGGAGTCTACCCCGCCTAGCCGGCCCACCTCACTGCCCTCGGTGAGCACCTAATACATGCAGCCAAGCCTGCTTTGTTTCTGTGAAAAAAAACATATTTATTCAAAAGGGTCTGAAAAGACTTGGAACAATGTAGGTTGTGGCTTGCATCTTGACAAACTGTCAGTGGTGTGAAGTACTTAAGTAAAAATACTTGAAAGTACTACTTAAGTAGTTTTTTGGGCTATCTGTACTTTACTTTACTATTTATATTTTTATTACTTTTACTTTTACTTCACTACATTCCTAATGAAAATTATGTACTTTTTACATTTTCCCTGACACCCAAAAGTACTCATTGCATTTTGAATGCTTAGCAGGACAGGAAAATGGTCTAATTCACACATTTATCAAGAGAACATCACTGGTCATTCCTACTGCCTCTGATCTGCCGGACTCACTAAACACATGCTTTGTTTGTAAATGATGTCTGAGTGTTGGAGCGTGCCTCTGGCTATCTGTAAATTAAAAAAACAAGAAAATGGTGCCATCTGGTTTGCTTAATATAAGGAATTTGAAATTATTTATACTTTTACTTTTGATACTTAAGTATATTTTAGCAATTACATTTACTTTTTATACTTTAGTATATTTAAAACCAAATACTTTTAGACTTTTACTCAAGTAGTATTTTACTGGGTGATTTTCACTTTTACTTAAGTCATTTACTATTAAGGTATCTTTACTTTTACTCAAGTATGACAATTGGGTACTTTTTCCACAACTGCAAACTGCAGACTGAAAGCCTACATACAAGCCAGAACTATGTGTTGTTCTTCATCTACATGCAGTCATAGATAGGATAAAGCAACATTGTGTCAGAAAGGTCATGACTTCAACAAAAGGAAGGAGGAGGATGCATAATCAGAGTATTTCTTCCTGTGTGTGTCCCTACAGGAGCTGCAGAGCACAGAGAGCCTTGTGGAGGCTGGAGGCAGGTCTGCTGCAGGCCCACTGTGGGAGGAGCCCAACACAACAGAGACTGCAGTACAGCCCTCTCCAGCTACAGGTCTGTTCCTATTTGTTACCTAGGAGACTGCTGTCTAACTGCTGCTACTCTGACACCTAGTGGTGGCCATTTGTATTGTTTCTATAACCCATAAAATCCTGTTGCTATTCGATATGCATGCTAGTCATGTGTTACTCATTGTCTGATTAGCAAATGAACACTTTAAGCTGTTAAACACATTATTCAACTTGGTCTTCCTGTGGTTAAAGTCACATTAGGACCCACTGTCTGGGCTTACTGTATACTGTGATGCAGAGCCTTGCTCTGATTCATGTAAACATGTGTCCGTCTGGTTTTCAGAGTCACAACAAGCTCCCAAGGAACAAACAGAAGTGTGTATGAATGCCACAGCGACTAGACAGAATGCCACTGTCCTCCGTCCAGTCCTATCAGAGCACGCCACACAACAAGCTCAACCAATGACCGCACAGGTGAGATCACCTGCCAACCAATCAATGGCCCCCAATGCTGCAAATAGCCAATCATTTGTGCACTGCTGTACCTCAAGCAGAAGCCGTACCCAGGAGTGTGCAGCGCCATAGAACCTTCGGATAGAAATGCATTATGTAGAACAGACATGATTCTATACTGTGTAGAATAGGTTATCACATAAGCTCTGTAAATTACATTTCTATCTGCTTTGTTCTAACTAAATATTTTGAAGAATCCCCTGGTCATGTTTTGATCATTGTGTTCCTAACCTTTCTGGTTCTGATCTTAGGTCAGTGAGCCCAGCCTGGAGTCATCTCAGAGAGCAGAGGAAGTTGCTGCCTTGGCTGATCCAGGACCTGTCAGAAAGAAACCACCATGTGAAGCGCCCACAACAGGTAAGCAAAATCTTTTTTTCAGAACAGAATGAACTTCAAACTGCCTTTTCCCAATACTCTTTATTTCCCGCAGCCCTCTCAGCTATGCTATCACACACCCCAACTTCTTTTTCCTTTGTGTCTCCAACTGGCACTCTGTGTTTTTGCCTGTGAACTCTCTATCTATCCTCTCCTTTTCTCCTCCTCACCCCCTTGCCCTCCCTCCTTCCTCCCCCTCCTTCTTGCTTGTGCTGTAGAGCTGGCTAACAGTGCCAGTTATCCACCAGCAACCGGCAACCCTAGGTTAGGCCTACGTTGGGAGTTCTTCACCCCGCCAGGTAAACTGCTCACTGATTAGTTGAGCTTGCCTGTAACCCTCTTTGGGGTTCACATACTCATACATAGTACAGGGTTTCCCCAGGGCTTCCCCAGGGGCTGGGTGAAAGCATTGGAAACCTGTTTCCTCACTCTACTAGTTTTGTCATTTATTATTGGAGTCCTGTGGATCCCATTATATTTTACATTAAGTTGGTCTTATAGTGCTGTAATTACTATAGTAACAATGTTAATACAACATTGTTACAAGTATACTACAGTGTTACTACACAGGTATCAGAGCAACTTCATGTCAAGTGTTACAGCATTGTTGAATGTTGATTTTGGTGCACTTTTACACAGGAAACTGGAATTGTTAGCCACACAGTAATGAAAAATACCACACAACTCGTAGCTTTTCAGCAACTCAATATTCACCTTCATACCTTATCACCTTGATTTGTTCCCTTATCACCTTGATTTGTTCCCTTATCACCTTGATTTGTTCCCTGCCACCTTTTGCTTCATTCCCTCATTCCTTTAACTGACATTCATTATGTAAATAGCTTTTTCCATGTGTTCACACAAAGACAGTGTAGTTAGCAAATTAAATTACTAAAAAGATCATGTCCACTCAGCATCAGTTCCTGTGTTTGAAAGATGCTTGTTTTCTAACCGGCTACCTTTTTCACTGTACCTCTATTTCATAGAGGGGGCAGAGCAGGAGCGTGGTAAAGCAGCGGTAAGTAGATCCTTACTGTTCCATCTGCTATAGTCTTTCCTGGTAGAGTTATAAAGGGTTTTTTACTGGTTCTCATCTGGTTGAGACAAAAATCTTAAAATGGTGTCAATACAGTCCACATTGCATTGGATACGATGCATCTTAACAGACAATCCTGGGTTGTGTTCATTAGGGCACACAGTAACAAAACCATGAAACAAAAACAAACGTATTCTTATTGGGCAAGTTCAATATTGGCTCCCTGTTTCACTCCATTTCAGAGCGTGTTCTTCCGTTTTGTGTCTACTGAGCACAATCCTTTTGTTGTTTTTCCTATATATTTAGGACCTCCCTAAGACCCAGTGATTGATTGGTCATTGTTCATTGGCTCAACCTATCAGATGAGGATTATGTACAAAGCAACCAGCATTGCTCTTCATCCCCTCATCGCTCTCTCTTTTCTCTCTCCTTAGTAGGACACCTGTGGCTAGCATGGACATAGTGCTGTTGTAGATCAACTGTGTGTCTCCTCTATACCCTTTCTGTGGATGTGTGTGTACTTTGGTTTATGGGTGTGTGGGTCGGCGTGTGTGTATATGCATGCTTGTGTTCACAAATGTGTGTGTGTGTGTATGTACGGATGTGTGCATGCGTGTCTGTGTCTGTGTGTGTGTGTGTGTGTGTGTGTGTGTGTGTGTGTGTGTGTGTGTGTGTGTGTGTGTGTGTGTGTGTGAGCCCCGGATGGGCCCTATCAGGTCACTCAGGTGTCATCCCCAGTAGTGGCCCAGGCTAAGCGGGGTGACCGCTGGTCTTGGGACCCAGATGAGGAGCGACAGCGTCAGGAAAGGTGGCAGCAAGAGCAGGAGCGCATGCTTCAGGTAGCCTGAGTTATGCTACTAAACACCCAAAAGCTAAGCCTGACTTAGCTTGCTGCTAAATACTCATTAAAAAAAACTAGGCCTGATTTGGCTTGCTGCTAAATACACATGAACAAAAGCTAAGCCTGATTTAGCATGCTGCTAAATACTCATTGAGAAAAACTAGGCCTGATTTAGCATGCTGCTAAATTCACATTAACAAAAGCTAGGCCTGAGTTAGCATACAGCTAATAATATGTTAACAAAAGGCCTGAGTTAGCATACTGCTAATAATATGTTAACAAAAGGCCTGAGTTAGCATGCTAAAGCTAGGCCTGAGTTAGCATGATGGCCTATTGACATTAGCTAAAGCTAGGCCCGAATAACCCTACTGATTACTGAATCTATGGTCTGCAGCACCAGTTACATTTACCCAAAGCAGGTGCTAACTTTCTATTAGCTTGCAGACACATTTCAATTAACCACAATCTTGAGTCGACCCCCAATCTGCTACTCACTGCTGTGCCACAGTGGCCACACAGTGGCAGCATTGCACAATAAAAGCTGTGTGCTATGGCATGTCCTGCGTGTCTCACACTCACTCGCCAGAACCCCAAATCTGCCGCCAGTCAACTTCGCTCTCCTCCTCTACCTACCCATCATAGGGTGTGTCTCAATACTCCAAATAGCCTTGTCTCCTTGTTTTCTTTCCTTCATCCTCACCTAACCTATATTCTACAGACGAAGGTGAGGAGATGAGGAAAGAAAACCATTTCAGACTATTGAGATCCACCCACAGGGTTTGCTTGGCTGATGCATGAACTCTTGTCACCCCTAAACCCCCTTGTCGGTGCATGGTGTGTCTGTTTCTTTGGTTGGCAGCTTTTTGACTGTCTTTTCTATATCTTTACAGCTCTCATCATACATGCATGCTATGTTTGTGTATGCCCACTTTTTCCTGTCACATGATTGGCCCATGCTTCTCAATGGTACTTAATACAGACCTGAACTAGCACAAGTTATTTATTGAGATGAAATCCAATGTTAATGGATAGTTCACCTCAATCTAAGCTTATCAGATGTTTTCATCTTTCAAAAGGAGTATGAAGTTGAGTCTTCCACATTTCACACCATCTTTCAAGGAAAAATCCACTAAAAAACGATATTTTGGTATTTTTTTCATTAGTCCACTGTTAATACAATCCCAAAATGTTTTGTCAGCAAGTTTTCAAGATATCGGATTTTCATGAAGTAAAGTGTCACCAGCCATCATCATGTTTTAGGGAGAGTGATAAGTACTTTCAGTTCGTTACTGATAGAACTCTAAAACAAAGTGGCAAACCCCGATATGCTTTATGGCCAGGTATGGCCCAACAGGCATCTGTTCTGTCTATCTCTCCATCCGTCTGTCTGTATGACATGTCATTTCTCCTTGTTGATGAATGTGTGCCATCTCTCGTTGCCATGGTAACAGGAGAAGTACCAGCATGAGCAGGAGAAGCTGAAACAGGAGTGGGAGAGAGCGCAAAGAGAGGTGGAAGAGGAGGAGAGGAAATACCATGAGGAGGTGTGTGTGTGTGAGTGTGTGTGTGCATGTGTGCGTATATGAATGTGACTGCTGACTGAATACAAACTTCTTATCATCCTATCAGTGTCCTCCTATTGTTTCCCTACAATGACTCTTACCTACATTCTGCCCTCCCTCTCTCCATAACTCCGTCCCTCCTCTCCCTCCTTCTCCCCTCCCACCCCCTCTCCCTCCCCTCCCACCCCCTCTCCGTCCCTCCCTCCCTCCATCCCTCCCTCCTTCCTTCTCTCCTTCTCTCCCTCCTTTCCTCATTCCCTCCCTTCCTCCACAGGAGCGTAGGATACTAGAGGAGACTGTGGCCCCCCTGACCCCCCTCTCCTCCACCCTGCCCTCGCCCATCCGGGGGGATGGCCCCACGCCCATGGACCCCCAGGACACCGTTGTCCGGTCGCTGGCCGACTGGGAACGCAAGCAGGAGCTGCTGGAGAGGCAGGGGGTGAGAGGAGAAGTTATATTGGGTTACCTATTAAATTAAAATAACGTGTTGTAAATATGTATATATGTATATATTATTATAATAATTATTTGTATTATTGTTTCATTTACTTTCTTTTTTGACCTGCACTGTTAGAGCAATTACATCTGTGCATGTGACTAATAAACCCATCTAATCTAATCTGTTAACAGGCCATGTGGTTTTGTTACAGTGGATTATAAAGTGTCATAATTTGACACAGTTAAAAGGCACTCTACTCAGTGTATGAGTAGGGACGTGGACTTCACTAATCCAGTGAAATTGTGAACTAACTGTTTGAATTTATTGAACAGCTAATATGACAGTTAATGTGTTTCGGTGGATTTTAGGGTGATTGTAACAAACCCTTTGAAACTCTCTTCCTCTCTCTTCATCCACCAGGGGAACACAGAGTGTGTGGAATGGAAAGGACAAGATAACGACAGTAGTAGTGACATCAGCACAGCATCCAGAGATGAGAACCTGAAAACAGCAGTCAGGTCAGTCTAAGAGCGTGTGTGTCTGTGTGTGTCTGTGTGTGTCTGTCTGTGTCAGTACACGTGTGTGTCTGTGTGTGACCTTGAACCCTATAATGGGCATGAGAATAATGACTTTCTATATAATGTCATTGGTCATTAATGAAACTGAAATGAATCAATCATTGAATCAATCAATCGTCCACAACTCAATCAGCCAGAACAGCAGTCAGGCAGACAAGCTGACGCCGAGTCTGCAGAATGGTCAGAGAGCACCACCCGCCATGGCCGTGCCCCAGCCCCACAACAAGAAACAATATACAGAGGTCTTACTAGACTACACCAAACCCAGCAAGCAGGCGCCCTCTCGGGACAGGAGGTATTTGTGCTTGCGGAGGGATTAGGGGTGAGGGGAGGGGTGTGTTCATGTGTGCGTGTGAGTTTGTTCTATCATTCACAAGCCAATATTCACTGTGTTATGCAGAGGGGCTTCTCTTTTGGTTATTAGTGCTTCTCCACATCTTCCATCATGGACATGCCTTTTACTCAGATGGCCAGTAGGTGGTCCCATAATTCATCTATGTTGCCTCACTGTCAAGATGAGGCTTTATAGGGAAATGACAACAGAGATGTTGTAAATGTAAATGTAAATGTTTTATTTAGTAATTCACAAAAAAAGTCCCTGATTTATAGTCCAACCAATTAAAACAGATTCTTATTAGTGGTTCAAGAGATTGAAAAAGTAAGAACACATATTGGTAAACCTACTGCCTAGAGTAGGAATTTGTCAAATGCAGCTGTATTGCACACTGTATGGTCCATATAATTGGCAACAACGTTGTATTTTCACCTATAGAACCTTATTATTGTTTGTTCGGCTCATATAGTTTTGATTGGTACAATTCATACTAAAGGATTCAATCATGTCCATGTTGCTAGGCAGGCCGTCATGTTGCATGTTGCTTTTCATCTCCAGGTGTGGCTCCATTGAATCCATGGGGCCCAGTCCATTAAAGTCACCCACAACATGCCCATCCGACATGCCTCAATCGCCAAACAGGTACAGCCACCAGAGGGCGCCAAACTCAGCTCCTTGAGGCCCCACTCACTACTGCTTTTGTCATCTGTTATATTGAGAACGATATTGAACTTGCCGGAAGTATATGGTTTGATCTGTGCTTCTCTGTGAAAAGTATCATGTCAGCTCTGTAGAAGACATTGCTGGTATCTCGAACTGGTCTGAGTCCATATCCCACATCATCAAATGTATAGATCAATATACTGTACTAGATGTGAATCTGAGGAATCTAAAAGCATCAATCCCTCAATTCTTCATTCACTATCACTGGACCATATATCCACTGGACCATACTTCATTTGGCACTGCGGTCATTCAGTTTGTGCTGCTCAGTAGTCAGTCTGTGGTAACCTGGACTGGGTTCTTCCCTGCAGGTCGGTGAGCGGTAAGAAGCTGTGCTCCAGTTGCGGTCACCCTCTGGGAAAAGGGGCGGCCATGATTATTGAGACCCTCAGCCTTTACTTCCACATCCAGTGCTTTAAGGTCAGTGTCACTCAGGCAGGATGTGTTAGGTCAGAACACTATCACCACAACACCACAGTTAGTAGCAGGCTGTGTTAGGTCAGAACCCTATCATCACAACACCACACCCATCCACAGTTATTAACCACAGGATCCTGACTAATGTAATTGATGATGAATTCTAATCCAAGCCCTAGACCCAACCCCCCAGAAACTCCTTGTTGATCTTTAAGGATTGTAAAGGTCACAGGAGGTTGATGGCACCTTAATTGGGGAGGACAGGCTCTTGGTAATGACTAGAGAGGAATAGGTGGAATGGTATCAAATACATGGGGCGGCAGGTAGCTTAGTGGGTAAGAGCGTTGTGCCAGTAACCGAAAGGTCGCTGGTTCTAATCCCCGAGCCGACTAGGTGAAAATCTGTCGATGTGCCCTTGAGCAAGGCACTTAACCCTAATTGCTCCTGTAAGTCGCTCTGGATAAGAGCGTCTGCTAAATGACTAAAATGTAAAATGTAAATAAAAAACATGGTTTCCTTGTGTTTGATGCCATTCCATTTGCTCCGTTCCAGCTATTATTATGAGCCTCCACTGGTATAGGTGTAAGTAACCTAACGTAGCATGGGTTAAAGAAACACCTGAAAATAGATCCCCTACATACTGGTCTGAAACTAGATCCCCTACATACTGGTCTGAAACTAGATTCCCTGCATACTGGTCTGAAACTAGATCCCCTACATACTGGTCTGAAACTAGATCCCCTACATACAGTACTGGTCTGAAACTAGATCCCCTACATACAGTACTGGTCTGAAACTAGATCCCCTACATACAGTACTGGTCTGAAACTAGATCCCCTACATACAGTACTGGTCTGAAACTAGATCCCCTACATACAGTACTGGTCTGAAACTAGATCCCCTACATACTGGTCTGAAACTAGATCCCCTACATACTGGTCTGAAACTAGATCCCCTACATACTGGTCTGAAACAAGATCCCCTACATACTGGTCTGAAACTAGATCCCCTACATACTGGTCTGAAACTAGATCCCCTACATACTGGTCTGAATCTAGATCCCCTACATACTGGTCTGAAACTAGATCCCCTACATACTGGTCTGAAACAAGATTCCATACATACTGGTCTTGACAAGAAGAAAAAACTGTCGGGAGGTTCTCTTCTGCACTGTTCAACCAATCCAGTAAATGTGGAGGAGGAGTTAAGATGGCGTGTCACCTTGTTAATGTCCAAAAGCGGAAGTCGTGTCACAGACTCTCTTTCCATTTCCCCTGAAAACCAGAACATCCGGTGGTTGGGGACTCGGCAGAGGCTAAGGTGTAAGCAATATGCCAAATGTCCCACCTGACCAATCAGAAGGCAAGGTGAAGGAATTGCCATATTGCTGAAACCTTTCCGATCCTCTCTGATCAACATACTCACCAATGCCGTCAGCCTTGTCAGATCAGTGATTACTACAAGGAAGGAAGGAAAAAATTATGCATTTTCAAAGTATTCAAACAAAGCATATGTCTTACACTATGTATACAAAAGTATGTGGACACCCCTTCAAATTAGTGGATTCAGCTGGTTCAGCCACAGCCGTTGCTGACAGGTGTATAAAATCGAGCACACAGCCATGCAATCTCGATAGACAAACATTTGCATTAAAATGGCCTTACTGAAGAGCTCAGTGACTTTCAACGTGGCACCGTCATAGGATGGCACCTTTCCAACAAGTCAGTTCGTCAAATTTCTGCCCTGCTAGAGCTCCCCTGGTCAACTGTTGTGAAGTGGAAACGTTTAAGAGCAACAACGGCTCAGCCGCGAGGTGGTAGGTCACACAAGCTCACAGAACGGGACCGCCGACTGCTGAAGCGCGTAGCGTATAAAATATATTCTGTCCTCGGTTGCAACACTCACTACCGAGTTCCAAACTGCCTCTGGAAACAACGTCAGCACAATAACTGTTTGTCGGGAGTTCCATGAAATGGGTTTCCATGGCCGAGCAGCCGCACACAAGCCTAAGATCACCATGCGCAATGCCAAGCGTCGGCTGGAGTGGTGTAAAGCTCGCCACCATTGGACTCTGGAGCAGTGGAAACGCGTTCTCTGGAGTGATGAATCACGCTTCACCATCTGGCAATCCGACGGACAAATCTGGGTTTGGCAGATGCCCGAATGCATAGTGCCAACTGTAAGGTTTGGTGGAGGAGCAATAATGGTCTGGGGCTGTTTTTCATGGTTTGGGCTAGGCCCCTTTGTTCCAGTGAAGGGAAATCTTAACGCTACAGCATACAATGACATTCTAGACGATTCTGTGATTCCAACTTTGTGGCAACAGTTTGGGGAAGGCCCTTTCCTGTTTCAGCATGACAATTCACCCGTGCACAAAGCGAGGTCCATACATAAATGTTTTGTCGAGATCAGTGTGGAAGAACTTCACTGGCATGCACAGAGCCCTGACCTGAACATCTTTGGGATGAATTGGAATGCCGACTGAGAGCCATACCTAATTGCCCAACGTCAGTGGCCGACCTCACTAATGCTCTTGTGGCTGAACATATCTAGTGGAAAGCCTTACATTTTACATTTACATTTTAGTCATTTAGCAGACGCTCTTATCCAGAGAGACTTACAGTTAGTGCATACATTATTTTTTTATATATTTTTTTTCATACCCCCTGTGGGAATCGAACCCACAACCCTGGCATTGCAAACGCCATGCTCTATCAACTGAGCTACATCCCTGCCGGTCATTCCCTCCCCTACCCTGGACGACGCTGGGCCAATTGCACGCCGCCCCATGGGTCTCCCGGTCACGGCCGGCTACAACAGAGCCTGGATTCGAACCAGGATCTCTAGTGGCACAGCTAGCACTGCGGTGCAGTGCCTTAGACCACTGCGCCACTCGGGAGCCTTCCCAGAAGAGTGGAGGCTGTTGTAGCAGCAAAGGGGGGACCAACTCCATATTAATGCCCATGATTTCGGAATGAGATGTTCGACGAGCAGGTGTCCACATACTTTTGGTCATGTAGTGTGTTTTGCCTCCTCCTTCCTCTCTCTTTCTCGCTCTTCCCTCTCTCTCTCTCTCCTTCTCTTTCTCTCCCTCCCTCTATTTATCTATGTCTTCCTCTTCCCCCTCTCTTCCCCCTGCAGTGTGGGGTCTGTAAGGGGCAGCTGGGTGACACCACGATGGGGACAGACGTGAGGATTCGGAACGGCCTCCTCAACTGCCACCAGTGCTACATCCGCTCCCGCTGTGAGTCACACAAACTCACATCCACGCATGCACACATACACACTCACGGTTACACACGTATACACACTTGCATACTCTCTCTCTCTCTCGCGCTCTCTCTTGCTGACACACACACACACATGCACACACCTATACATTTGGCTCCCTCGCTTTCACATGATAAATAGCTACATCACACACTAATTCAATTTAGCTGATATAAGAGTATTGTGTACTCAATTGCCTCAGAGAAATACATGTATTTTTCCTTAATCCCATTAAATATGATAATCATCTAGTAGAGAATTTACGGTTGTCCTTATTGTTGCTCCATTTCTATTCAGCAGCCGGCCAGCCAACCACATTGTGACAACGTTGGGTCAATGGAAAGCACAAGGATTACGGAGAAATTGTCTCCCTTCTTCCTGCTTCTCTGTATAATCAACATATGTGTGGAATGTGTCTTGTCTGTCAATGCCTATGTGGGGATTTTCGCAATGTCTGCAATTCACATCCCATCGGGTTTATTGAAATGGTCCAAATAATGCCTGACATTGGAAAGTTGTGTGCATAGAATATTAGTCAGACTGATCATAGTCGCCCTATTGATTCTATTGGCCCTGTATGATCACAGCTCAGAGGTTCTCACTTCCTCGTTTCCATATGCACCCACAAGCCCTCAAGAGGATGGCGGCCATTTTGAATCTGAGCTCTGAAACTGTAAATATGGTGCATACAGTATAACAGCCTCCATCACTTCAAAACTGTATAGGAAACTCATGAAAATACTAATGCAATGAAGTCCAACAAACGAATGTGGCACTTATTTGTTTGTAAGAAAACCCTTTATTTTAATTGAATTATTCTCTGGTATCCAGGTTGTTAGATAGGCCTTATTAGTCTTTAGTTTGTAACTTTAGCTTCTAATTTGGTCGCTAGAGAAGGTTGTCAAGATTTCAAATGAAAGTTTCAAGTAATAGAAGTGTATTCCATTTTGCTGACTTGAGATCTTTAGGGGTTATTTCTCGATGGTCAACAAAAGGCTTAGAAAAAGCATGATTGTTCCTCCCAATTTAGATTTTTCACTTAAACCACAATTAACCCAAACTCTGGTTTAAATTCTGGGAGTTAAATAGTTTAGCTGCCTATCTTCTTTCCAGGCAGCTCCAACAATGTATTTTATCTTTTATTTATTGGATAAAAACATATACTGTGCTGTCACTAGGCTATAGGCCTACATTACAGTAACGTTGCACGTCGGCCTGACAACGTTATCCTTTTCTCTCTTTCTTTGCTCGAAACAAATGTCCGCTCACAAAGTTAGATGTACATGATTTTAGAGCAATAACACAAACTGATGCATGTAAACTGGTTGTGGAGGTAAACAACCATCATTATGGATTTATGCTACTGTACTAAATCATTCCGTTAACTCTTAACTGATTCTCTTAAGGAATTTCACACTTGGAATGTCATGAAACATGTGCCTTAGGTAAACAGGTGATTGCACACGCAAGGGAAGGGAACCCAAAGATTGTATCCACTTAAAGGAAAACTCCATCCAAAAACCATCTTTTGGTATTTATTTCATTAGTCCATTGTTGATATAGTCCCAAAATGTTTTGCTTGTCAGCAATCAAGTTATCAAGATATATCACTTTTAAAATACAGAAATCAGCAATAGCATCATATGGGGATGATTTCTGTATTGTGAAAGTTACATATCTTTAAAACTTGATTGCTGACAAGCAAAACATTTTGAGACTATATCAACAATGGACTAATGAAACAATTACCAAATGATAGTTTTTGGGTGGAGTTTTCCTTTAAGTATGATTGGGTAGGATGGGAGGTTTTTGTCCAAATAGTGCTAAAAACACAGGAGACACTGAGAGCTTAAAATCACCCCACCAATTTTTTTTGTTGATATTCCCCTTTATCTTTTACTGATGTCATAGTCTACCAAACCTTATATTGTTTTCTCATGAGTTCATGATTTGCAGTGACAGTCTTTCCAGTTTCAAAACGGAATCTAAAATATATCTAGGATAAATGGTTGACATATTTAATAGCAGCCCTTCCCAACAAAAAATAGGCCGACCATTGATTTTTTTATTGTGTATCCAAATGTTATGATATTATTATAATAATGAGTCTATTTAGGCCTCTCTATGCCCTGTTGACAGTGATGACGATTTTGGTAAATGCTCAGCAATAGAAACTCATTTTCAACAACAAAAATATTCATTAAGCATACTTGTTGCGTTGTGAAATGATGGCTAAAATATTATTACCAGCAGTTGCACTTGATTAACATTTGGCTGCTGAAGACCAATGCCAGCAGTTCGAACATCAATCGTGAAATGATAGGCTACTATGGAGCAATTTCAGTGCCAACAGAAATTGTATTTGAATTCCATAATTTAGAATTAGTGTTAGGATATTGAATTTGAATGTAATACTTTTGAATTTGTAATGCACAAATCGAATCATTGAATTCAGCTTTAGCTAAGTGGGCTAACACAGTCTTGTGACATGTAGGAGACCTGGTTCGAAGCCACTCAGTCACAAGAGCAAGATTAAATAGGGAGTGGAAAGGCTATCCTTAGAAGGGCTATGACAGGGCTATTCAACTATATTCTTATGGGGCCAAATTGCGGTTTTGTGACACTCCCTTCTAACTCAGCCTGTGGTCATCAAAGAAGGGAACAGACGGCTCCAGCGAGTCTTAGCTTTCAGGAATGGGGTCATAATAGCTCATAGACAAAACGGTTTAAACGTTATAGCTAAATTCATAGGAAGAAAATTAATTCAACATTCCGCATTGGCTTTAGAAACTGCCAGAAGTTTCTGTTTACCATAGTGAGCATTTGATTATACCTGTTCTCCGCTACCTTTCCTGGCTGGCAAAGTAACAGGATATAGTCTCAGGTTTTGAATCTGAATTTAGAGAACTGAATATGAATGCATCTGAGAAGTTGAATATATGAAACTTTGATTAACTTGAAATTATGATTTGTAAATTTGATTCACAGACAATGAATGCAATGCTTACCATATTGAAACTGAATCTATAGATATTGAATTTGAATATTAAATTTAATTGAATTTTAAAACTGGATGCAATATTCACTCAAATCAGTTTCAAATCATAAAATACAAGTTCAATTTATGAATTCAATGATTCAATTTGTGCGTTACTAATTCAAAAAATATTACATTCAAATTCAATATCCTAATACTAATTCTAAATTGTGAAATTAAAATAAAATGTCTGTTGGCACTGAAATCGCTCCATAGGTTACCAGTGGTGAATATACTGTATGTTCAAATGCTATCTTGAAATAAATCCATAGCCTACGCTTATGTCAGACATATGATCCACTCTCAACATGTAGCTTACAACTTTCCCTGTCTCGTCTGGGTTTATTTTTCTGATATAGGCCTACCATATTTTTAGGCTTCGATCTGATTGTCTTTTTACTTTTACTTAGGAAATGAATACATCTCGGCTGATACTCTGCAGGGGGGCATCTCTTTGAGACAGGAATATCGATACTGTCTTAGCTGGATGAATAGTTTGGGAATGATACTTTACATCTAAGTTCTGTATTTATTGTAATATTCACCTGAACATTATCCGAATAAAAATGAATTTGATGTTCAAATGCATTGGCTTTATAGCATACTGTATGTTTATAAATAAAATGTAACAAATGAATGAATGGGCTTTTCGGTGTCTTTCTGTAGTTATAAGATATAATGAAATAATGTGGTGCACCTGCATGTAGTCAACTCAACTCAATTCGGCCCAATACCTTTTTGCTGCGACGAGGATGAAAGCAAAACGGACGGTATTTTTCTGCTTTTAGCCAGCTAAAAGCTGATAGAGAACGGGAAAGGCAATTGAAGTCTACTTTGTATTACTGCTGAACAGTCAGCCCTAAAAGTAACGCTGATCCCAAAGCATGCGTTCTGCCGCAAGCCGCTGTCCATGGTGCTGAAGTCAATTTCCAGCCCTCGGAATGGGCCACGGCCACCAGAAAGGTGTTTTCCAGTGTAGGTGTAGGTGACTTGTATAATAGAGGTACATAGTAATATATGATATTATAGAATCCATGACAATAGTTATTAAACAATATGATGAATTTGTGAGAACCAAATCTGACATGGATTGGGGAATCAGAAGATAATAGTAATTTATGTGCGACTTTGGTTAACATTTTTACATTAATGCTTGCAGAACGTAGCCTAGCCCGTTTGTCTACCTTTTGTCTAAAGATCAACAAAGAAAAACATGACAAAGCAACTTTGATTATTATTTTTATCATCAACAACCATTTCAATGGTACACCTGGAAAACTATGTGCACATGTAGAAATATTTCCTTCTTAAATATAAGCATTCATTACCTACATATAAATAACTTTCAAATCCTGGACAAAACGTGTTACATTATGCTCACAAAATGGGGGGAAATTATTATAAAATCGGACAAAAACCACATGCAAATAATGAAGAAATAACACAATGTTTGCATCCATTCCCTTTTTTTACCCAAAATAAATTCGCCAGTGGTAACTTTGTAAAACGTCAAAAAGACTTCGTGATTCTAAAGGGACTGGGGAGTTTGGCCTATGGTCAACTATAGGATAGATACAATAATACGTATTAACACTATACAATTTGAGCCACAAAAACACAGCTGTAGAAAGACTCACAAAACAATTACATATTCCTGTCAGCAGTGAACTTTTGTACTTTGTGCCTTTTCTGAGGAAATAATGGTTGTTCATTTGATGTCAACAATTGAAAGAAACGAAATTCTTCACGAGCCCTGAAACAGTGGTGTATAGGCTACGTACACTCAGCAAGTTGCATCAGGAAATGAACAAAATACTCTGTCTCGTTCGATAATAAACAGACATTCCATATATCGAAGATCTTCAGTCAAATCAGAATGTTGGCTACCTAAAAAAAACAAGCAGTTGTACAGTGTCTGACATTCTGGTCGTACGATGGGACACTGCTTATGACTCACAGCAGTTTGTGGTTACTTGAACCAGACAGCTATAAGTGCAGAATGACCACAATACTGGACGATAACCGAGACCGAAGGACTGAGGCAAAAAAATCAAAGTAGTCATCTTCATCTTTTTACAACTGCGGTTATGATATCAGTGTCCTTCAGTATTTCTTGTAACATCCCTCATTTCACCACTCAACACTCCTCAGTCACCTGAGTAAACCATGTTTCTCTTGTTTGATTTTGTCAGTGGGTCTCCGCTGTATTAGAACATGCTGGTCTTTACTAATGTAGCTTTGGCTCCGTTCTGTCTTTGCAAAGAGGACAGTACGCTGGCGAACGGTCCACCCAATGAGTCCGGGATAGAGGTGATGGTACCCGGGGCAGAAGCCCAGCCTTGACTCGGTGTGTTTCCACACATGCCGGGAGCCACCGACGTCTTCACTTGGTCTACTTGTCCGTTTCCGCTGGAAACGTTGACCTGGCCACCGGTTGGACTGGGCCCGCCGCAGTTAGAGGTTGGGACGGGGTTGGACCCCGGTCCTCCCGTGCTGTCAGGGTCGGTAGATTTGGCCTCTTTACTGTCTTCTTCCCTAGAGTCCGACTTCTTCCCGGAGCCGTTCTTGGCAGCAGCAGCGGCAGCAGCCGCCGCGCGCTCTTGCTTGCGGAATTTGGCGCGTCGGTTTTGGAACCACACCTAGAAAACGAAAAACGGGTCCAAAAGATTTAGACAACTGATAGTGAGCGATGTTTTAATTTCCATTAGATTAAATAGTCCTACTGTATGTGTAAATGACTGAAACCATTGTCATGTTGTCACTATTAGACAATGCAATATGATACTCTATCCGCATATTGACCGTCGGAAAACAACCCTTATATGTGTAATTATTCACACATAATCAAACAACAGTGTAAGCCTATGAGTTCTGTATGGGCCTAATGTTGGCGAAAGTATTTTTAAACCAAATAAATGTTTTAAAACCCCACAAGAATAGTAGGGATCCTTGTGCTTAATGTGCGGAATGACTTGAGTTCGGAAAAGACGGTGCACTTTGACAAGGTGAAGATAGCGCCGGATAGCATAGCCTACCTGCACTCTGGCTTCAGTCAAATCGATTTTGAGCGCCAGCTCTTCTCGTGTGTAGATATCCGGGTAGTGGGTCTCAGCAAAAACCCTCTCGAGCTCCTTGAGCTGTGCGCTGGTAAAAGTGGTCCGAATGCGCCTCTGCTTTCTTTTCTCGTTCAGTCCGCCATGATCCGTAAAGAGTTTGTAAGGAACTGCAGGAATGAAATGTCTACGTTAAACGTATTTGCAATGGCAATAGCTGTAGAGTAATGGTAACATATGATAACATGTAATTACAATGTTGTCAGATAAAAATCTATCTGAATTAAGAATGATTCTGTTGAAAATCGAGTTACGTTGTTATTATATTCTATAATATGTTAGATTACTTGTGGATTAGTGTTAAAATGAGACCAGTGATGTACTGTAATGTGGTTAACTGTAATGATAAACTAATGTTTGGTTTGATATTGGAGTTCAAGTTTGGAAACTTGTCGTAATGTTGCCATCCGTCCCGGTTCTTGCTACTGTAACTCCAATTCTGTGTCAATAATTAGCTTTAGTCTTTGGTTATCTAATTATTTTCGAAGCTTTGTATCTCATCGCAAAGTAAATAAATTATGCCTATCATTTTGGCAGCTTAAGATAATGTTGTTGGCGGTTTGGGTGTGGGATAGTGTAACCCCTTAACTGAATTACCGCTTGCCTGCAATCGCTTCTAACGTGATAAATTCTTTCATTTGTGTAAGCAAATTTCGTTTGGTAAATACTAAACACATTTCCATTTTCAAATGCAATCAAGGCGTCCTATATACCCGGGTAGAGACCGGGGAGTGTTGAACAAAGTTGGCGGTTGCTTACCTGCGGCGTATGGGCTGCTTTGGTGGTCCCGCAGGGTCCCCAGACTGCAAGAACCCGGCGTGAGAGACGGGCAGCCGGAGGTAGCCCCAAACGTGGTCCTGATCGGATTGTACTGAAACCCACTGGCTTGACTGCACGAGCTGAAGTCCGCATAGGCTGATGCCAAGCTCGATGTGTCCATCCCGGCCATACATGACTCGTAGGCAGAGGAATTTAGGTAAGAATACTCCATTTTATACATTTGAAAAGGCTCAGTGGATAAAGAAAGCAGCACTTCCCAGGAAAAAAATCTAAACTTCAAATTTGATTACAAAAACAATGATAAGGACGCGAGATGAGATGGGGAGAATTTACTTGCTTGGATTTGACTGTTTTGGAAAGAGGCTAGACTGTGGGTAGATGTGCACTGCTCGGCGCCTGCTCCAAAACTGGCCTCCTTTATAGGAGCTTCGCCCTGTTTTATGAAAAGCCCCCTAAGAGCCGCCTAGCCTCAGGTCTCTAGAGCATATAGTCCTCATAATAAACTTGGCTCTTTCCTCTTGGACAATGGCAAAGCGTTTGGTCTTATTGCTAGCGTTTTTACATGACAATAACTCATCAGTCTATTGGGCTGGCACTGGGGGCCCGCGCTGTCCAACCTCCCTATCATTGATCCTCTGCATCTCTAATTAGAATTTAATACCACACCATTATGCGCCAAGCCCAACCCCCCCTCCCCGCGCGCCATCCACCCCTCCTCTCTAACCACCGTCTTGCCCTTTAATTCAATCACACCACTTGGAAATAATGAAAGTTGGGTGACGATTCTCCCTGATCCAATTTTCCCAAAGCTTTTAAGTCTTTTAACCGACGGTATACCTTGGGCAGAATTTCAGATAGTATTCCCCCTCTCTCTTCTTGCCTTTGCACTCTTTCTTGGCTTGAAGTGCGGATCATTACGCACGATGTAACATTATTACAGAAGGGTGGATTGTTATTTTTTGTATTGTTTATTATTATTATTAATACTACTATTATTGGGCTATTGTTGTTATTTTGCCCTGCCACCGTCTAACCCTAACCCTGCCACCGTCTAAACCTGCCGACGTTGTCTCTAAACGAAAGTAGTCTAAACGAAAAACCAAAATGGTAGGCCTGTAATGTTAAATTTTTTAAATGCACATTATTGGATATAGGCTATTCCTATAGAACAATTATTATATTATATTTCAATTCCATAAGGTAAAGCCACAGAATACGTTTTATCCGGGGGGGGGGGGGGGTCTTTTTTAAATGATTCAAATTAGTTTGTAATTCGTTTTATTGCATTAATTATTCTCTTCATTTAGCCAATAACTTATTTCTAATGAAAGTAACTAAGTCGTGAGCAAGTCATCGGACCTTTTAGGCTTATATTAGGCTAATTTGGTTTTGGTAACAAGGTGAACCTTTTTGTAAGGTGTTTACCCTATTCTGTTGTTCTATCATTGGATCAAGTTCGTGCCCATAGCTTGCATGTCGTCGTTTCTGTTTTGTCCACAGACTATTTCTCCAAACGCATTCTCGCCTTTCAAAAAAAAAAAAAAGGGTGTGTAGCAACATTTCATTTGTTGCATAATGTTTATTTTTCTTCCACTGAAACATTATCTAAAGGGAGTGTATCAAAATTGTGTCTGTCTAGGCACAATTATATTTTTCCGCATCAATTGAAAACTAATGTTCACCGTGAGGCTTTAAAAAATAAATGGACAAGTTGCACACATATGTAGGGATAGTCAACTCAAAAGAGCGCCTATAAGATTAATGTCAATTTGAGGGTTAGGCTATCATTCAAAGTATTTATCTCCGGTTTTTTTTTTACCATGAAAATGAAATTAAGGCATCGGCCAAAAGAGATCTTTCATTCCTTGAAATAACCTGACAAAGGAGTCAGAAAGGCTTAGCAACAAAAAGTCAAATAACTACCGTTTGACCCTTTGTTGGTGAAAATAAAGTAGGCCCATGCATTTTTTTCTGAAGTTCAAAATAGGAGATGCAAGGTGCATTGAACAAAAAAACGGGTATAACATTGAAGATGTTATGCTAATAAAGTCCTATCCAATCGTTTATTTTTTTCCACAATTGCTGACGCGTTTCAGTGTCTTTCCCTGTTTTCTTTACGCGTTACCCATTCAATGATGAACGACAATAAAAAGTTCATTCTTTCTTGACACAACCCAGACCCTTTTATGTAAATGATTTCTCTTTCTTTTTCATTCTACAAGAGAGTTGTGACTAAAAGTTGTAGCCTACCAAATGGTTAATTTGATTATTGAAACCAAAGACCAACTGGTTCACCGGCCTCCCTCCACGCGTCTGGCACCGCAAAAGAAGCCATCTCTAGGAATTAATCTAATAACAGACAAAGAACCGAGAAGTCCTTTCTGATATTTTGCCGAGGCAAATAGAATTATAGCTTTTGCCATCCGTTTCTCTCATTCAAACGGCTCTTTATTCGGCCGGTCTATAGTTCACCATAGTCCACCAACCACTGAAACGCCCTCCTTTATATTTTCAACGTCTCCTTTTATTCTATCAACTGGTTTCCAAATCTGTTGGGCCGAATTAAATGTCAGAGTTAAAGCCTTTGATATTTTGATTTGAGAATGTTAAGCCCGTCCTCACTCACTACATTTGTAAGACACACGCACAGGCACACACACACACACACACACACACACGTTTTCAAATAGGCGTTAACTAAATGAAATAAGATTCGAAGTGGTTGGAATAATATTACGCATTACACTTTCGGCATTATGATGTTAACAAGTCAATATATGATCTCCCACTTGAAATTAAGCACCATCTAGAAAACAAATATCACAAGTGCATGGAATCCGTGATTTACAGTATCTTAATGGCTATTTAATAAAAGTGAACCTGCGGTTAATTTGTGACCCAACGACACATAAATAGCAGCGACCATATGCTATCACTTAAATAAATCAGGACAAATGCGATGCGTGCGAGACCCTACATTTTCATTTGGAAGTGCCACACAATAGCCGGAGACATTTAAAAGGCGGACAAGGAACTCCTCTCCTTTTAGTGCGCGCTATCGTTGCTCAGCGATACGGGAATGCGGGTCGACAGCGGACAAAAAAGAGGAACAAATGCCATTGTCTGTGGATGGATTGGAGGTATCACACTCACAAAAAGGGAAAACACAGAGGGCGATGAAGACATTGGGATGGGAGGAACCTCTGTCACATTGAACATAATGTCTTACTCGGGCTGAGGAAAACGAACCGCTATCAAAACGGTTATTAATAAGGGCGTATGTGCTTCGGGAGGGGTCGAATCACAACCCTAAGGCAATGTTGATGACAAAGCGCAACATAAAATATTCATTCGGCTTGTTCTCCTGACAATTTCGTCTGTTATCTCAATTTGATATTGAGATTAGAAAGGCCTATACTCAAGTGCTAAGGGAAAGAAAACGCACAGCACCAAAGATCAAATAAATGAATATGGGCTCAGAATTGTTTACAATTTTACCACTGAGCAATGCACGTGCACAGATGAAAAGTGACATCTGGGGAAGAGATACATTCAATTAGAAGGGCGTGTACCCGCTTTTTCGATGTCTGCTCGAAAAGTTTCACACACAAAAAAAACGTGTGGTGTGCTGTCCTGAAGACTTTGTTGTCGAAGACCCCAGGAAGAGTAGCTGCTGCTTTCACAACAGCTAATGGGGATCCTAATAAAATACCAAAATAACCTTGTCTTCTGATAACTATTGTTATAATGCAATTAGTTGTGGGAGACCTGATGCATAGTGATGACGATATGGTGAAAATTAGGATATGTTGATGACCATAATGGTGTGTGGTGATGATGATACGGATGATTATGATTATGTTGAGCATTAATCAGCCATCTTTGTTCGTGAGTTGATCAAAGCATGTTGATATGAGCCAATTGCAAGATATAGCATCTAAAATTCTCTATGAGGTTATCCATGTCTTCCAGAGTCAAGCTTTGGCTGACTGACGGCCACCTGCGTGGGTCGAAGGCTTGTGGTCTGTCTGCCCTCCCCGGTTTGCTCTTCTGCATATGAGGCCGTTTGAGGGCCTCCCAAGTGACCAAGAGACCAGCGACTGGATTAGCATAAACATCTTATTCCACAGGATAAGATTAGCAAATACATTGCCCTCAAACGCGGCCTTGGCACGAGCGAGAGCTAGGCTAGGAATCAATTACTAAATTACTCCAACCTCTAAGTCGACATTAACGGAGAGGAATGCCATCGACCGGCTTGAAATTAGATTATGAAAAGATGTGATCATTAAATCTCTTGCCAGTGTTCAATAATTTGATTAATAAAATCGTCCAAAATGAGATGGAATTAAATTCTTATCGGAGTCCCTTGTCATCATTTCATCTCGTGCTGTTTAACATTGGTCAATGGCCTTCATGCGTTTTCCCTCTGTAAATAAACTTAGTGAATCCTCCCCTCCTCGAGACATTGTTTACTTGTTAATTTATCGCAGTTTGGTGGATATGACTGCATGCCTACTCGATGAGATAAAACAGGGAAATAGAAAATATAGTCCACAGTTTTATGATACGATGCATTAATGTATTTAGGCCTATTTGTTTGTTTTATTTATTTTATACAAACAAAGATAATGTATTTGATAGTCTACCAATTTTTACTTTAAGTAGCATCATTTCACGCATTTTACGCATATAGCCTATGTGTTTGGCCAACGTTTTTCACATGTAAACCCCAAATGTCCTTTTGGGGACTACTTCAACTCAAGCTGTCAAAGCCTAGCTGTCTGTTTATTTCTCCCCTAAGTAGCCGGGCGGGGTGGTCATGTGTCAGGCAGGGGCGGGCGAAGGAGAGGGCATATTTTATTTAGCATAGACTATACTGGTATTATTCCCCCCACATTAGCAATTGACAATTATTAGCTCCAGTCTCATAAATCAGCTGCGTGGAGCGTTATTATTGTTGAATTGAATGGCTGTTGGTGAAGTGAGGGTCAGTGTCATTAACTATCCCCCCGAATCCCAGCGCGTTCCTCCCCCGGCCCCCTGAAGGCATTTGGGGCTCAATACAAGGCAAAGACCTGCTGGCTAATATCGCCCTGTGGTCGGGCTAAAAGCTTAATCACACATGCATTAGCCAGAGACAGCGGGCCATTGTGTACACGTAGGTTTACTGGAATTAAGCGATTAATGGCCGGCTAGGGCGACAGGGCAGCGCATCGA